AAGGGTAGCCAAACGGCTACCCGGGCGCGTGTTAAAAATGCGGTTCACACAGGTAATCACACATGCATAACACCTGCTGACCTTGCAGAATGCTGGAGCCATGACAAGCGCATGTAGTTGTGAGATGGGCGAAATGCAAGGAAGTGATGGAGCTGCCGGTGCACACAAGGCACATGATAAAAATGTGACTAGGTGTTGTCCAAGAAACCAACCACCGTACTTCTCCACCTTTCTCAGCACCCAGCATCTCACGGAAGTTGCAGTGACTAAGACTATATAACAGTGTCAGTGACTATATATGAGGATGGTAACCCACAAGCAATGCTTGCCTGCATATAAGATTCGTTAAAACAGTGGTAGGTGCTTCCATGATAATACAGCACTATATTTTCAGAATTCTTAAGTGAAAGACAATTTTCAAAGGTGCACCACGCAAGCTTATACCAAGCATGTGCATTAATGGTCCACACTGACCTATCCCTTCTGCCTAAATGAATTGCTAATATAATGGCATGCAATGGATTAATTATATGCTGAAATATATCAATAGGTCCCAAATGTTGGCAAGATCATCATGTAGTGGCAAATGGCCTTTGGACACCCCTGCAGCATGGGTGCTTGCGTTTCTTTCAGTTTGACGGCGTCAGTACCCTGTCATATTCAAACGCAAGCCTAAAGATAGAGGTAGGTATCAAACTATAGCATTTTATTGGGAGTCAATATATTTAAAGAATATCAAAACAGTGGTCTCTCTTAGAAGTATGAACCTTGCACGCACACTCCCCATCACATCAAGGTCAAAACAAGCCACTGCCACACACCTCCAGTGATCACACACATTTCAAACGCCTGATTTATACTCATGTCATGATTTATACAATGTCAATGAAGTCTAATCCCACACTTGCACAACCCGCGGGACTATCAAATTGCTGATTTTCTCGCAATATCCGCGCAGGTTTTCGGTTGTAACACCGTGTTACGCCGTGAGTTCCCTTCAAAACAAAGTCTCAACAGGGGTTCATGGCTGTATAAGAGCTATCAAGAGGTTGCACTTGAAGGGCGCAATTCTTTTGTTCCAGATTTAAACTTGTCCCACAAGATGTGACGAATATTTAGCCATATATATACATACATATATATATATATATATATATATATATATATATATATATATATATACATATATATATATATAAAATTACTGTAATATTTCCCAAAATTTGATACGCCTGGCTGACCCATAAACCCGTACAAGGCTCTTTGCTTCGGTGAACGAGCTGTCTGTAAGAAATACGTTAGTAGAAGAAAAAAACGTCAGCGCGAGAGAAACGCGGATTTGTCGTCGCGTCTTGTTTGCTTTGTAACATTTGGGAGAGTGCCGTTTTTCGGGGCTGTACTTTCTTTGCGGACAGTGGCATTCTCTTTTTATAACATTGAACCAGGGCCTAGAACTAAGGAAAAATGCCCCGTTTGCGACGAGTGTCGCACAACCTCAAAGTGCTCACGCTTACGTTCGCGACACGCATTCAGCAGCGAAATCTTTCTAACAGTCAATCACCTTCCGCAGATTGCATCATACGTGCCACATCATCGCTCTTGCAAATGTATCAGCGGCCATGCTGTTTTGACCATGAGCAGAAAACCGCCTATAATATAACAGCAATCTTATGGCGTTTCTATGACGACATGAATGCCAAGGTGATTTTAAAGTAGTCTCCCCAAAAAACTTTTCACACTTTTCCGGGAGTACAACTCGGGGACAGAGGATTTTGGGTCTTAAAAAGGGCATGGCCGTGAACTGCATCAAAAGCTCCTCAACACGTCTATTTCAGTTCAAAACCCCATGTAAAGGTGGAACGTTGCCTTTAAGGACAGCAGACACAACAGTTTGAACAGATCAGATCTTGATTTTGATCAGGTCTTGAGTTTGGTCTTTTTTTGGTTTGGTTTGGTCTTTTTTATCAGATCTTGATTTTGATCAACAGATCTTGAGTTTGGTACTCTAATACGAATATGACACCGCAGCTGTTGTGGCGCATTCGAATGTTGTGAAAAAAAGAGTAAAACTGTTGATTTCCAATGGCTTTGTCGGATGAAATATGTCTGCACTTTCCTGGAACTGTATATCATCTGTGTCCATGCACACCGTAATGAGCTAAGAAGACTTCCCATGACTTGAAATATTCAGATTTCTTTACGCTTTGCTAGTGCAAAGTCATAAGTGGATGCAGGTTATTTAAAAAGACCAAGCCTTTGTCTTGCCCAGATGAGGATCAAAGCGTGAAATACCCGTACCTTTTATTTGTCCGCTGTTTCAAATTCAACATCTTCCTTTTGACTTGTACCCAGAAACTGGCACCACAGCACCTAATAAGATGACGCTGAGATGACATGCTATAGAAGCATTTTATACACATGCGTGAAATCGCGAAATACTGGCCAAATCTAGATTACCCTTCATCTAACGTTTGCGGGTGAACGCCGTGTTAGATCTGTCGAACAGCCGGCTTTTGCTGGTGAGATCACTAGCTGGCTAGGGCGGGCCGGGATACTGAGGGCATTTTGCAAGAAAGTGACCTTTCTGAACCGTACCCACCGTCTTACAGTCGGAGCCAGGCGGACCTCTGCAGCTGGAGAATGCGGACATCACATACCGTGTCCCCTGACAGGGTGTCAGGCCGTGTGACACCGATCAGAAGAGCTCAGAGCCCTTCTGCCCGTTCGGTCGAGAGTTACGTATAGCCCGAACACTACACGGCTTAGGGTTCGGGCTCAAGTAAATATACTTTCACACGATAGCCTTCCTATTGAATACGGACACCAATGAAAAGCAAATTTGCAGTCGCCAACAGGGCCAGAAGTAGTTGAGAACCGACCGCATCGTTATCTTCAATATTTTGTTGACCTTTCATTCATTGACCATTTTATCATACGTTAACGGAGCATTGCTGCGCAGTCGAAATTTATCGCATCATCGCGTAGCTCTTTGTCCATCCGCCGTTGTTCGTGCGGTGGCTAACGCATCACAATAGGGGATATCCACATGCCATGACACACCGCGACCACAAACGACGGCGTTAGCGGGCGTGAGCCGGCGACCGCAGCCGTGCCAGTGAGTGCTCATGCCATGCCGTGCTATGCTCCATCTTCTCAAGAGCAGGAAAACTTGCAAAAGTGCCGGCCACTGTTTAATGGCAACATATTCATGCATCATCACGCTCGGCTCTGCCTGCCATTGCGCTACGTTTTCCGAACACAGTGACATCTAGGTGTCTACCCTGCCCGGAAGTGATGAACACGACAGGGGAAGCTTTGGAGCGCGTACGGCCGCCACGGAGCGGGATGTGAGGCCAGTGTGTCGTGTGCACGGCAGATGGCGGTCGGCCTTAATGGGATTACGAGCCAATCCAATACCCAAGGATAGCCTGCTAAGGGCTCACGCACAGTCAGCTTTTTCATGGCAGCACAAAGTGCAAGCAATTCGCCATGCCCTCACAGCTCGCGTAACTGGCGTGTTTTCCTGCCTGTATTTGGCATCCATATCTGGTTAAAAGTTGTGAAGAACTGATCAAGTGCTTCATCGGATTCCTCCATGTGATGCTTGTGGGCACTCTTAGGCCACGCCATGGTGGTGTGGTTAAAATATCACGGGCAACGAGTCGTATTTGCATAATTGTTTCGAACATTCTTCAAGATCTCCAACAGCCTTTCAGTATCAGTAGCAACATAACGGGCCTCCGACATCGGCCGCCTGTCTGTAAATCATCGGCTGGTGCTCGCTTCCACCACGGTGCCGCTCCGACGCCGACCTGAAGGTGACGAGGTCTAGCACGTCAGCCTGCTGCCCACCCCAGCGAACCAATCAACCTGCTTCCTTCTGCTTCCTTCTAACCTGTTTCCTCCTGCTTCCAAGCTGAACCTGTCTCTGTGCATGGTCCGTGCTGCCGTCCGCGCCCCCTCGGAAGCAGTGCCGGGCTCACGTGGAATCGGTGGACCGGCGGCCGGTTGTGGTCGGGTCGCCTGGCTGGACGGGGGCGCCCACTGCAGAGGTCGTTGCGTCAAGTGGGGCAGCGCCGCCGGAGGCAGCGTGACGGCCAACCGCGTCGCTCTCCCACGGCAGAATAAAAGCCCGCCCGCACAGACACCAGACACCAGTCACTCGCCAGCAGTGGTGTCCACCTCACAACGCCACGGCTAACATGAAGCTGGTGAGTACGGCCAGGGAGATCGGTGCTTCATATGTGGGCTGCCTTTCGTATTCCAGCGGCGTCTGTACTGTCAGTTAGGGCATTAGTGTGCGCCTAGCAAAGATAGGCCCATTGGCCAGTGTCCGTTTCTTTACGCGGCCAGCTTAGTCGAATATTCTTCAGTCCTAGTCTCGTTGTTTTTTTTTTCTCGTTCTAATCAGTCTTAGCGGACGGGTATGGAGTCATTTTGGCGAACGACAGGGCTATCACGACCAGCTACAATTTGGCAGCGTGAATAATAAGCGCGTGCTTCGAAACCCAGCACCATGGCATGATGTCCCAAAGGCCAAAAGAGATCAAGCTAGACGTGCGGACGTCAGGCTACAATTTCAGCGGTCCTTGAATCAGCGTAAAACGCCATGTCGCCAGTCAATGTGCTGTCAGATGCTACACACATTCCATAGCTATCCCTTAATCCCTGCAGCCACGGGTGGAGATCGATGACAAAAGCTGACCTGACAAAGGTGCTAAATTGCATCTTATCATGGTAAAATAATGCGTCGCAACCTCAACCCTTGCCTGCACCGCTGGTATAGCAACCCCTCTGACGTCAGCTGGGCGTTTTTCCAGTTGATCGTAGCCTCGCTGGCGGCTCTGGCCTGCGCTGATGGCCCGCGGCCGCAGCCGGCGCCCGCCTCCTACCAGCGGCCGGCGGCCCCGGCACCAGCCTCCTACCACCAGCCGGCGGCACCGGCCTCCCACCAGCAGCTGGCCGGCTACGGCCAGCCCTTCGCCATCCTCAGCGAGGAGAACGTCCACCCGGGCGACGGCACCTACCAGTTCGGCTTCCAGACCGAGAACGGCATCTCACGTAACGAGAACGGCAGCCCCAAGGCCGGCTACGGCAAATCCGAGTACGGCCAGCCCACCGGCGGCTACGTCCAGCAGGGCGGCTGGAGCTACAGCGACGACTACGGCAACCCCATCCAGGTGACGTTTGTTGCCGACGAGAACGGCTACCAGCCGTCCAGCGACATCCTGCCGACGCCGGTGCCGACCGAGTACCCGCTGCCGATCGTGCCGCAGGTGTACCAGGGCGAGCAGAGCTATGGCTCCGCCCCAGCCCCCGCTCCCGCCCGCTACAGCGCCCCGGCTCCTGCTGCCCGGCAGTACAACGCTCCCGCTCCTGCGGGTCCTGCGCCTGCTCCCCGGCAGTACAACGCTCCCGCTCCTGCTCCTGCTCCCAGGCAGTACAGCGCTCCCGCTCCTGCCCCCAGACAGTACGATGTTCCTGCTTCGGCACCTGATCGTTACGGTGTTCCTGCCCCCGCCCGCAACTACTAAGATGGATGGACGGCGAGTGCTATGAATAGCGCAGCCGGGTGTGCGAGGCTGTGAAGCTGCATGAGTGATGTATTTATGCGTCTGTACTGCTAAGAAATACAGGCGCATGTAAAATAGGCTGCTTTCATAGCACCTTGTCATCATTTGTGGCTGAGACAAACGATGCCAACGATGTAAATGGCCAGCGAAATGATGGGCCGACGAGGCAACCTTTCAACTGAATGGTTCACATCCCCACCAGATCGCTGACCTGGCTGCCAGGAACCCAACCCACAACACACGTCGCACGGCATAGTTCAGAGTGCCGTGAAACGTCCCTGATCTTTTCAAAGGTAGTGCTTAAACCCTCGCTTTGGAAGCGCTGCTTAATTTGATTGTATTCTTGTGAAGAGAATATCCGCTGTAACTGAAGGCTTTCGCATCCAGGTATTGTCCATACATTTGCGCAAAAAGCTTATTTTAGAACGAGCGTCTGAGCAACACTGCAGGGCACGAGTGTTGCTCAGACGTTCCAGCACCGAGTTCAAGCACGCAGTGCCATAATGTGTTGTAGTCGCGGTCTCGTCCTGTCCAAGCCTTCTCCACGGGATAATGTATGGACAGGGCACAGGAGGCACAGGGCACCACCCGCCAAAGACAAAGAGGAAGCTTGGAGCCCCGCGCAGTGGTCACCACAAATTTGTAAGTGTAGGTAAAGGACGGAACAAATGTGACCGCATGTATGCCAGTGTTCGTGACAATGAGCGAGATCAAGTTAATCTGTGAAGTTGTATGTGCCAGAGCGTGGCCACTGCAGCGGCTGGACCGCACAGAACTGACGTGCCGGCGCCGTTGTCCGTCGCGCCCTTGTCCGCGTGCCTGCGCCGTTGTCCGCCATGCTCTTGCCCGCGTGCCTGCGCCGTTGTCCGTCGTGCTCCTGTCCGTGTGCCTGCGCCGTTGTCCGTCGCGCTCTTGTCCGCGTGCCTGAACCGTTGCCCATCATGTTATTGGTCATGTGCCCCATACCGGCAGTCTTCCACGCTCACCCGTCGCTACGGCCGACCAACCGCACGTTCAGCCCCTTTGCGGTATGCTGTACCGCTAAGCAACGCTCTTCGTCCGTGCCCCTGCGCCAAGCCGGGGACGGAGGATACCCCAGCATTTCCACGGATCCCCTTAGCTATTATTATCGAGGAAAGCAGCGTTTCTATCCAAATAGTGAGTTGTAATTCAACCAATGTCCCACACAGACTAAAATCCTATCCAGCCTGCTGGTAGTTGCCGAGGCAGATATGCTTCGAGCACGACTACGACGCGGCGACAAGCGTAGTAACCCGCAGGTGACCTGCGCTCTAATTCAAAGGTATCAGATGCAGGAACTGTCTATATAACGACATAAAAAGCTTACTTTAGCATTCACTCAGCAGGCCAAGTGAAAGCGGCTCCGGTTTATAGCTAACTACCGTGGGAGGATTCTTGAGTGGGACAGAAAACTACCTCCGCACTCGGCGGGGCAGGGACTTTGAAACATCCCAATGACATGACCGATACCAAATATGGATTCACCTAACCAACCCTGAAATCTGGATTTCCCGCTGAACTTATGCCAATTCCACTTCACGGGCGGACGAAAAGCCACAAAACATGTAGCGAAATGGATGCGATGTGATAGGGCTAGAGCGGAGCTAGAACACTTGGGAGTGAGTGGGGGCGTCAGGGAGAATGTGGTGCGATGGGTGGGAGGTGGGCGGCATCTGATCATTTGAAGAGGTAATATGTGCGTGGAAGATAGCGTTGCAACGGAGTGTGTGCTGCACAACAATGGTTTTGTGCGAGATTTTCCATGTCTTCTTTCATTGCTTCTTAGGGGGCTCTTTGTCCTTGCGAGAAGATTGGAGGGGACACACAGTTCTGTGACGCTTTGTTTTACTGTATAATGTTTTTGCAACATTCTGCAAATTTTTCAACATCTCAAAATCATGCTATGCGAGCGCTTGTACGCTTGGAGACCACCGAAGATGGTTTAAGGGTGTTAGTCTGCTTTGTTGAAACCAAATATTACTAAGACTTGCCACAACAAGGTATCTTCCAATGGCGGCAAGATAGGATTTAAGGTGTCGCTTCTCTCCAGCTCTTTAGTATGTCAGAATGGAATTCAATAACGTTAACACCACGCGCCCGAAGCATTATAACTGGTGCCGTGGTCAACCGCACAGGTCACATGTGCCATCTTGCATTTGCACAACCGAGGTACATAGCAATGCAGACGGCCGTGGCGCCTGTAAACTTCCGTGGGACGATTGAACCACTAGCTCAAGATGCGTAGAAAATGCACAGAGAGGGGAGTTGGTGTTCTCTTTTCCATGCAATATTCTAGTCAAATTAATCCGCGAGTATACGGGAGTATGCCCATTTGAGCCAAAACCAACTCGAGCGCTCCAGCAGGTATACACGCATGGGTGAGCTGACATGGATCACCACTGGTGGCAATAGATATCATCCTCCCCAAAATTTAGCCATTTTCGTTAACATATGAAAAAATGTCGACAGCAGGTCTAAGAAATCCTAGATTTAGCAGACTTAAGTATTTTGTAAACTGAAAAAGTTATCCCCATGGGACAATATAAGAGCAGGGCAAAGGGGGCATGTGCCACCAGCCCAAAGACAAGGGGGAAGCTTGTAATCCCGCGCAGTGGTCACCACAAATTTGTAAACACCACTAATTTGTAAAGTGCAGGTACAGGAAGGAGTAACTGTGACCACACGTATGCAGATGTTCGTGACAATCGCGGAAGTCAAGTTTATCTATGAAGTTGTACGTGCCAGAGCCTGACTACTGCAGCGGCTGGACCCCACCGGACTGGCGCTCCGCGTGCCTGTGCCATCATTCGCCTTGCTCTCGCCTTGCTCTTGTCCGTGTGCCTGCGCCATTGTCCGTCTTGCTCTTGTCCGCGTGCCTGCGCCGTTGTCCGTCGTGTTATTGGCCATGTGCTCCATGCCGGCGCTCTTCAACGCTCACTCGTCGTCACGGCCGACGAGGCGCACGTTCAGCCCTCCGTGCCATATGCTGTGCCGCCAAGCAGCGCTCCTTGCTCGTGCTCCTGGGCCAAGTCAGCAACAGCAGATACCCCAGCGTTCCCCGGATCCCCTATTACCATAAAAGGAAACACCGTTTCTATCCTGATGGCGGATTCTAACTCAACCAATGTCCCTCACCAACTAAGATTCTACCGAACCTGGCAGCAGTTGCCAAGGCAGATATGCTTCGAGCAAGACTACGGCGCAGCGGCAAGCAGGGTAACCTGCACCGGCCAACCAATCAACAGTGGCATCGCAACTTCACGCTAGTTTAATCTTCGATAATACGGATAGTCTCACTAGTATTGAAATCCTGCAGGGTGAAAATAAAGTATATGTTAAGTATACATGTTCAAATGTATACATACATATATACACGCACACGCACACACACACACACACACACACACACACACACACACACACACACACACACACACACACACACACACACACACACACACACATATATATATATATATATATATATATATATATATATATATATATATATATATATATATGTATTTTGGGGAAACTGACGGATATTGATATGATAATCCGTCGTTCTCATTTAATTTGAATCGCGACTACGCTTCCCATTGGGACACGCTGTTCTCAGTGCATGCTTTGGCACGCGAAACAAACGTCTTCAATTAATTGTCTGGGCAGTGTTCCCCAAAGCGTCAAAAACTTCACGATTACTCCCCTGTTACGACCGTATAGTAAGACATAATGTTTCTGCATTCCTGTTTTGCCTCAAAAGCGTTAAATAAGATGGAAAAACTTAACAACCCGATTTTTTATGAAACAACACGAAGGTTATGATTTTTACATATAAATATATATGTATATATATATATATATATATATATATATATGTAGTTCATATATATGTATAGATATAGATATAGATATATATATATATATATATATATATATATATATATATATATATATATATATAGTTAGAACGCGACCCTGCTAGAGTGTGTGATTTACATTGCCTAGATAAGGAGTTATGCGTTGTAATTCTGCATTCCTACTGTAATAACACGGAATATTGACTTTAAAATGGTTTATTATATTAACAATCCAATCGCTTGGTTTTGTTTTGGCTTCGGGTCTCAAAATCAAAATGAAATCGAAGCACCCGAAGCACATATCCAAATCAACTTAACGCGATGAGTTTCATCCTCATGGCTCGGTCGAGGTTCAGCTATATATGTATACATATACACGTAATATATGAATGATCTATGGAAAATACCAACGCCAGGAAGAAACAAATAGACCTGAAAATATCGGTGAACGATAACGTGGTTAACACTAAGCGAGTAAAACGTGTACAATGGTATGGCATCTTAGCTAAGTTTGGCAACGAACTGTTCATGAAACGTGCCTCGCAACTTGCTCATTCACCTACTTCCCGACTCACTTTGCGCTTGACCTATTGCATCATTATTCAGACACCGGACGAAGCAATGCTCTCCGAAACTATGACATTCCTTGGCATGTTTTGTATTTCTGGAACTGTTTTGAGCCTTCAGTCAACGCGTCTCATTCAAACTAATTTTGTCACTGATTTAAAGCCAGGTCAAAACTCGGTAGATGTAGTCACCAAACACGCCGCAAGAGCCAATCTAATTATATTTGTGATCCTGATTGTCTAGGTCAGATCATCTGTCTGTCTAACCATATATGTGATACCGTGAGCATGTCGGAGCCTAACATGCCGATGCCGTAAAACTTTGTAATGTACTTGAGAAACACTAGAGAACTCTTGGTCGTAGAACCAAAACAGGCCACCCGCATGGGCGCCCGTCAGTCCGCCGTCCATCTCATCGAACCGGTCGCTCCACAAACACTGACACCGGCTCCAAATTGCAGGACAACAGCACACTCTTCAAGACGGCCCACCGACCGAAACATCCCCGCGGTCCTTTCTGTGCGTGGTCCGTGCCGCCGTCCCCCGGAAGCGGCGTCGGGTCGGGCCGGCTCACGTGAGCTCGGTGGACTATTTGAGTGGTTGTGGTCGTGCCGTCTGGCTGGACGGGGGCGCCAACTGCAGAGGGCGTTGCGTCAGGTGAGGCAGCGCCGCCGGCGGCAGCGTGACGGCCAACCGCGTCGCCCTCCCACGGCCAAATAAAAGCCCGGCCGCACAGACACCAGGCATCAGTCACTCCCCAGCAGTAGTGTCCATCTCACAACGCCACGGCAAACATGAAGCTGGTGAGTGCGGCCAGAGAGATCGGTGCTTCACATGAGGGTTGACAATCATATTCCAGCGGCGTCTGTACTGTCAGTAAAAGTGCCAGCACACGCCGAGCAAAGACAGGCTATTGGCCGGCGTCCGTTGGCCCTTGGCCCTTGCCTTCTCAACCCTTGCCTGCATTGCTGGGTCGGCACCCCCTCTGACATCAGCTGGGTGTGTTTCCAGCTGATCGTAGCCTCGCTGGCGGCTCTGGCCTCCGCTGATGGCCCGCGGCCGCAGCCGGCACCCGCCTCCTACCAGCGACCGGCGGCCCCGGCACCAGCCTCCTACCAGCAGCCGGCGGCACAGGCCTCCTACCAGCAGCCGGCCGGCTATGGCCAGCCCTTCGCCATCCTCAGCGAGGAGAATGTCCACCCGGGCGACGGCACCTACCAGTTCGGCTTCCAGACCGAGAACGGCATCTCACGTAACGAGAACGGCAGCCCCAAGGCCGGCTACGGCAAATCCGAGTACGGCCAGCCCACCGGCGGCTACGTCCAGCAGGGCGGCTGGAGCTACAGCGACGGCTACGGCCACCCCATCCAGGTGACGTTTGTTGCCGACGAGAACGGCTACCAGCCGTCCAGCGACATCCTGCCAACGCCGGTGCCGACCGAGTACCCGCTGCCGATCGTACCGCAGGTGTATCAGGGCGAGCAGAGCTATGGTTCTGCCCCAGCTTCCACTCCCGCCCGCTACAGCGCCCCGGCTCCTGCTGCCCGGCAGTACAACGCTCCCGCTCCTGCGGCTCCTGCTCCTGCTCCTCGGCAGTACAACGCTCCCGCTCCTGTTCCTGCTCCCAGGCAGTACAGCGCTCCCGCTCCTGCTCCTGTCCCCAGGCAGTACGGCGCAGGCGCTCCTGCCCCCAGGCAGTACAATGCTCCTGCTCCGGCCCCTGCTCGTTACAGTGCTCCTGCCCCAGCCCGAAATTACTAAGAAGGATGGACGGCGAGCGCTAGGAGGGTCGCACACGAGCGTGCGAAGCTGTGAGGCTTCGTGAGGGATATATGTACGCGCCGGTACTGCTGGAAAATACAGACACATGCAAAATGGACTGCGTTCATGTCACCCTTGTAATAATTTGTGGCTGAGGCAAATAATGTCGACGATGCAAATGGTCATCAAAACCATGTGCTGACGAGACAACTTTTCCATTGAATAATTCGCATTCTGACCACATCCATAATCCGGCAGCCTAGAATCCACAGACGATGGATCCACAAACCCGGGCCGACGCTGTCTTAACTGGAACAGCAACTGGACTTTGAAGAGTGGATAGAACGCCTGACATAAAGTATTGGCACGGGTGTGAGGATGGAGTGATGTCTGGCATCATCCTCGATGGATCATCTTTAGCGGTCAGACTTCTCATCACCTGCAGCGTGAGGACGCCCGTCCAGTGAAACCATGGACCCGGTCCACAGGGTTTGTTTTATACCGTTGCCGTGCTCGACACCTCCATGCCCATTGCCTGGACGACAGGGTTCTCGATCCGCTCATATCGCCAGTGTGATCTTCCAGTGTAACGTCATATTCACGGGCATGCTGTCAGGTTTAAGAGGAGTCCAACGATTGGGTTTGACTTCGTCTGGAGACCATACCGCTCCGAGCTTGCGACACTATCTGCATCTGAATGCAGTTTGGACCTCTCCGCACTGGCAGAACGTGCTTTTTTCACCTGACGTCGGATAAAGTTTTTTATAACTACTTAGGGCACTTGCCTTTGTTAAGGCGTCATTCCTCAGCACTACAAACGCACCAAACCCTCTAAAACTAGTTGTGGATATAGTAGCAACTTTGCATCTGAGCACACAGAGCAGCAGAGTGATGAATATAATCAGTCGTAAAATTCATGTCATTCCCCCGAAGAAACGCTGGAGATATTGCCAACTTCGGTTGGAGCGTCGAAGCCTTCACTTTGCTGCTCCTGCTGCTGCCGTCTAAACAGCAGCAGGAGCTTCCGAGGTGCTCGGGGATGTAGTGACCTTGTACTTCCGAGGCGCTCGGGGATGTAGTGACCTGCTGCTGCCGTCTCAACAGCAGCAGGTACTTCCGAGGAGCTCGGGGACGTAGTGACATTGTACTTCCGAGGCGCTCGGGGATGTAGTGACCTTGTACTTCCGAGGCGCTCGGGGATGTAGTGACCTTGTACTTCCGAGGCGCTCGGGGATGTAGTGACCTGCTGCTGCCGTCTCAACAGCAGCAGGTACTTCCGAGACGATCAGAAATGTAGTGACCTGCTGCTACGGTTTCAACAGCAGCAAGTACTTCAGAGGCTCTGCGGGACGCGGAGATCTGCAGCTGCACCATTAAAAGCAAGACATGCAGCGTTGCACGCCGCAGCTGCAACAGCCGCAAAGCAGGCCTTTGGCGTGCAGACTGCTGCCAGTCTTAGGAGGAAATCGCATGATCTAGCCGTTGCACCAGCAAGCAGATGAACATCGAAGACAAGGAAGGGGAGTTAGATGTACATAGTGATGATGCCTTTAAAAAGTGGTGGGGTAATGTGACGGGTGCTGTCTGGTTGTACTGCATTCAAACTCTTTCTGGATATTGTGACATGGCACATCGGAGGTTTTCTACTCTTTTGATATTTAACATCTGATTTGACGTTAAATTAGATCTTGTAGCCCAAAAATAAGTCCAGAAATGGACTCGTAATAGAGATACACCCGATAAAGATATGTCATACGGCCATCTATGTCATCCAGATGAACATGAGAAAATTGGTTATCATTCAAGATAGCGATGGCCACCACCTTGAATTCTGAGAAGTGCTAAGGTTGCACAAATAGCAACCAAGCTTGCTCGTTGTCGAGGACATATTTCCGCGAAAAAGTAGCATTGCAGGGTAAACATTGCAGGGTCAACCTTTTGCCAGCTTGAATAATGGTGATACAGAAAGTTTGGGCAAAGAAGGGCTAAACAAGCTGCTCTGTTTATTCGTGATCCAGTTGAAGGAGACAGACGGTGGTGGGTACGACAACAGCTCAATGTATTCTTCGGTCTCAGTGCTTGGCCGTTATGCTAACGATATGGGCATAACGGCCAAGGAGATATTGAAAAAGACAGCCAAGGCCTGGGCCTGATCGGCCTGAAGGGCCCAAGGCCTGAACGATTACCAAGGCCTGAAAGATGTGAAGAAAGCCAGGGTTGAGCTCCTCGAGTCGACAGCAAAGGGCAACCGCCAGAACCAAGAGCTTGCAATCAGCAAAGAGGAAGAGAAGATGCTATATGCCGCAGGCCAGCTTGGGTGCTGCGGCCTCGAGACTCTTCAACGCACGTTCTGGCGGCACCTGACAGTGCTGTTCGGACACAGGGCTGTGGTGGGAGCCGCCAGCTGAAATGGGACGATGTCCAACTGAAGACCGACTCAACAGGTGACCACAGTTTTAATTTAACGAGCGGCCCACCAAGGCCTGTGACGAGGGATCTGTCTCAGGTAGTCGGGCTTTGAAGCTAAAAGCCTTTGCTGACAAAGCATTGAAGATACCCAAAAATGCACAGTTCAGACATATGAGTTGTTCGTGGCTCGCCGCCCAGCCAAGATGCTCCAGATCGGCAACCTTTTCTTCCTGACATTAAATCACTGCTGGTGCCCTGATGACGCCACAGAAACCCAGTGGTACAAAAAAGTCGCTGATGGGAAAGAACAAAATAGCAGGCATGCTCAAGACGGCATGTGAAAACGCGTGGATCCTGGGCAGGAGAACAAACCATTTGGCCCGCAAGACCTGCGAGAAGAGGACATTGGACACAGGTTGCCCAAGACATACGTAGCCCAGTTGACAGGTCAAAAGTCTTTGACGAGCCTGGAATGCTATGCAGTGACTGATATCAACATCCAGAGGACCCTCTGTACTGGTGTAACGAATGGGTCTCGGTTCAGTGGGGCCACAAAGAATAGAATGTCATCGATGTCAACAACAGAGGTAGCAGCGAAAGCGGCAATTATTTTTGACATCACTAACTGTCAGAACGTCAGAGCGTCAAGCAGCTAAATGAAGCAAAACATGGGAAATTTTGTTTATATGCATAAAAAATAATATTCAACTCTGGAGCAAAATGCAAGTTATATTTAACTGCACTCTATGCTATTGTTTGCATTGCTTGTCGCACTTGATCGCTAATTGGCGAGATATTTGATCCGAGGAAAACGGTGTATCTATATAATCTATTGCGGTTATCTCCGTTCAGGAACTTGTGTCAAAAATCGATAAAATGTAAATACCCGGCGGGCCGAAACCTTTGTCCCATTGACCTAACAGTTTTAATTGTAACAGTTTTAATTGTTTAATTGTTAATTGTCCCATTGACCTAACATCTCAGACATCCGAGAACCTTTTACCGCACGCTCGCGCTGACATTAAAGACATCCCCCCCCCCCCCCATGTGGTAAAGACTGAGTTACTGGCGCACGGAGTCGACGTCCGCGTGCATGCGAACCATCGTGTTGTTAGCTTAGTGTTGTCTCACAATGCGCTCATTTCCCGTCGCCTGTACGGAGAGACGCGTGGGAGATTCTGAGCCGAGGTCGACAGCGCATGGCGCAAATGAAACGTAGCCCCTTTTTCTGACACGGCTGCCAAACCTTTCCAAGTCCATAACTATCTTTTTGGATTATGGGGTTCCAACTACGCACTTTTACATTCAAATGAAAAAAGCTTCAAAATCGCGAAGGAAAATTGTTTTGCATGCATTACAAATGTTCATAAGACCACAATAAGCGTCTTGCGTGAAATGACTCCAGCCAAGGCCTATACGTAGTTTGGAAGGTTTTGAACCAGTTTGACACCTATATTTGTACGGTTCTCTTTCATAGTAATGAAAAATTGCCGCCGAACGTAGCCATTTAATCACAAACCAAGAAAATACCAGAGACTGTCACTCCGAAACCGCTCATTTGAGAAACCTGAGAATATCACGGGCGTCTTCAGCGCCACTGACATCTCCTGTGGCATATTTTTGGCAACATTCGAGAGATGAGGGTGTAAAATTGACCCTTTGACCTGTCGAGTTGTTGAGGAATGCCCCGCTTTCCAACTCATTCAGAGAGACGCGACGAGCAAAATAAACAAGAGGGTTAAAGGTATCGTCGACGGCATTTACCAAAAAGGCTACACAGGACAGATCCAGCGCAGGTTCATGGTGGCGAACCAGCCGAGACCTGGTCAGCTGCAGGGCAACCCAAGTCCACAAGTGACATTTCTCTGCGACTTGTCTGCCTCACAAATGAGTGTCCACAGAAAAACAAGGCGGGCAATCTACAGAGGCCGACGGAGTCAGGAGGGCTGTGGAAAGGGGTGTGTGCTATGCAGGCGCGTGTATGTACATGTATATATATATATATATATATATATATATATATATATTTATTTATTTATATATATATATATTTATATATATATATTATATATACGAATATCTGCATCCATATTCAAGAACAACCATCTCACTCAGTATACGCATCACGATGCACGTCCAGAACGTCTGCCCAAGAACGCAAACGGAATCCAACTATGACCAGCGACCTAACCGGCAACAAACTGCAGATAGCGCCACTGTGGTAGGCAGTTGCCACGGCATGAGACGGCAATATGTGATGGAAGCCGTATACATGCGAGACATGGACCTATCTATCAAGAGACAGCTCAGCCCGCGGGGAACCCTAGCCCTATACGAAGGAATTCCTATCCGTTGGCCCACGGATAGGAATTAAGATGCAACTGAATTAAGACAGTCCAACTGAAACCACTTAATGGGAGACAGGTTAGCTCTTTAGAATTGGCTTCCGTGAGCTTTAGCTTTAAGATAGTTTCTAATACCTTGCTGGTACCGCGCTTTCGTGAAAAAAGAAGAAAAAGCACGCTGGTGTTTTATATTTTTCCGCCAAGTTTCGGTAATAGATTAGACTATTTGTTAGATTTTTTGGTAAGTTCATCAATTATTCACAACCCATGGTGGGTGTTACCTGTTAATATTGTGTGTGATTACTGTGATTTCAAGCTAATGTCTTGCGTGTTGAGGACGTCAAAAGTTTAACGAACATCGGCGGGATTTAAAAGGGGACAGAAATGTGGTTCGCCTGAGAATGTGCTCGCAATGAGTTTTGCTTCAGGACTTACAAGCACAGTCCAGAGAGCAAGAACTTAATGCGTAAGATTGAAAGTACATCGCGGAGGACCACAACAACGAAATCGCTGTTATTTTCAACGGCGCTGTTATTTTCGCGAAACCCCCTTTGATGTCTGCAAAGCCTACATACAACACGTTTCGTGAGAGCAAAATCGACGCTGATTGAACTATCAAACGCAAACATCACCACACACGCACAGGAGCCACGGTCATTTTTCATTATGCGCCTTTTGTGGAAAGGAAAGGAACAAACATGACTGGAACAAAGGCCCCATTGTTGCAAGGGAAGGTTGGACATGGTGAACTGCCTATATGCATTTTCTGAAGGAGGTATTTCTCAGGTGAGCACTCCCTCCGACCGTCACCGCTGGGGTCGCCCAAAGATGTGGCCATCGCACCGCTCCCAAGTACTCTGAGCGCACAGTGAAAATGCTCTTACGATCATTGTTATCTCATCGCCTCGCTATCCGTCACGTAGCTACAGTATCGCAAGTTAGTTATTTTCTTTACTTCCATATTTTCTCCAAAACATATATCCCAATGAGTTAAGTATCATCACGCTGACAGTCTCTCCAGTCACAGTAAGAGCCAAACAACATGTGTGTTTAATGTTTCCACTGTTATGAGACCGTTGCATTTCCTAGGGTACGCGCCGAAGAGGCGCCGAGCACTTCAGCGCGCGGTGCCGATGCTTCCAACGCCTCCTCCTCCGTCGCCGCCAGCGGCAAGCAGCGACTACCCGTCCGCCGCTGGAGGCGCCTCCACCTCCGCTGCGGCCACCGGTGACGGCGGCGCCACGTGCGCCGACGCCGTCCGCGGACGGTGGGTGGCGCTCGGCACCGAGGGGGCTCGGGACTGCACGTGAGCGGGCTGCGCTGGAGCTCGGCAAGGCCGTGAGGAAATGGACGACTATCGAGGCAGCTTTGCCAGCACATCATCAGCCCGCGATGGTTAGTCGGTCTTCGATATGTTGACGCCTCACCTCTTAGTCTCGTCTATTGTTTCAGGCGGCGGCGTAGGCCGAGCGAGCTTGTCTTCAAAAAATACATTTGTTCTGTGCATGATAGGCCAAGCCCGACCTGACGCGACTCTCGGGCTCTGGTACGCTAATAGCCCTGCAACCATTGTATGATGCCGGCTTCTTTCATCGGCCCTTGGCAGCATTCTGGCCTTGTCCCGTTAGTTAACTGTAGCATCACTGTTTTATATCACCACTGCCTATCGGGTTCTCGAAGCATTTGTTTGATTATTCCGGGAAAATATGGTAGGTGCACGGCATCATGGTCTGGTCCTTTGTGATGGCACTTAAACACCAAACCTGTTGAATCTTGTAAGGTCTCTTCTAGTGACTGAATGTTTTGTCCAGATACCGTTATCAAGGGGCTAATAATTTGGGTGATTTTGCTCTTTGGAAACCGATCAGCTGTGTAGCGCGTGGCAAGTTTATATGAGAAGCTTCTGTAAATGTGTTTAATGCATGTGCTGAGTCCAATTTCAAATGGTGTTGCCCATGCGCACAACCATGACAAATCATCGATGTTATTAGAAAAATAATTACGCCCACCGCACCTATGTGTATCTTTGCTCAACGACAAATCACCAGCCAGCAAAAACGTGGTGGGGCATCGACTGGAAGAAAACAGTATTCCTACCCTGGTTGAACAGTCCCTGAGTCATGCAAAAAGTGTGACGTATCCGCGAACCTTTCCATCCTTCTCCACTTCTGGCATGGAATGCGTTTTCTGTATAAAACTTAATATTGCGTTGGTGTCGGTGATGCGTTTTCATGCGTGCGGTACGACTTTGCATCAACATGCACCTACGGTATAGGAAATTTGACTTACAAGTTCGACTGAGGAGGCCGGCCAGGAATACCGCAGACAGCGAGACTGGAGCCTACGTCCCATGGCCGTCGCGGACGTTCAGTTCACGTTCAGGGTTTTGGGAGACATGTGGTGGCCTGGGCTGTAGTGCACTTCGCCAAAACTGCCTAGGTACGTGATCGCCAACATGAGAAAGTCTAAAAACGGCGCCAAGAGTGCCGCACCAAAGTGCGCCAAAATTTGGAAGCGCCAAAGACCAAGTCAAAGCGCAAGTTTCCCGCTAAGAACATTATAATATTTGCAAAGCTTTCAAGTTTTTGGGAATCAAATGTTGAAAGACCATTGTACCCCCACATCTGACACACTCAGACCCAAGCTCAGAAATCGTCCGAGGACGCAAGGACAACGCCACACTGCGAGGCAAGTTAGCCCTCGTAGCACGAGTGGCGGCGGACTGGCTCCTGTCTAATGCCGCGACATTTTTCTCACGCCACACGCATGGCACAACGCCGCAGTGATCTGAACGGCCGACGACGCTGTCACTCCCACAGCACGGCAGACCCGCGGCGCGGTCACTCCCACAGCACGGCAGACCCGCGGTTCTGTCACTCCCACATCACGGAAGACCCGCGGTGCTGTCTCTCCCACAGCACGGCAGGCCCGCGGTGCTGTCACTCCCACAGCATGGCAGACCCGCGGTGCTGTCTCTCTCACAGCGCGGCAGACCCGCGGTGCTTTCACTCCCACAGCACGGCAGACCCGCGGTGCTGTCACTCCCACAGCATGGCAGACCCGCGGTGCCGTCACCCCCACAGCACGGCAGACCCGCGGCGATGTCTCTCCCACAGCACGGCAGACCCGCGGCGCTGTCTTTTCCACAGCACGGCAGAAGCAGCCCGGCCTCCGGCAGCGGCGCGCCGGCGGTCGGCCGGCGGGCACTTACCTTTTAAGCCGCGTTTGGGCGACCCAGTCGTAGAGCTGCTGGTCGCAGCCGGGTGGGCACACGCTGAGGTCCCAGGTTTCCTGGATGGCGTCCTCCTCGTCCTCATCCTCATCGTCCGAGTCCGAGTCGTCGTCCGAGTCGGACAGGGAAGAGGACGAGTCGCTGTCGTCCGAGTCGTCTGTGGAGGACGGGCGGCGATCATATGGATGGTGTCAGAGCCCGGTCAGCCTCCCGACCCCTCGGAGGAGACGGATCACCGACAAGACATATGATGTCGTGCAGGTCCAGGGGATGATCCCGAGCCCCTCCCCACAGCGCATCTGGCATGTGTCCCGTCACTGGTGGCGCAGCTGTCCTGTACACATGATCATGTCGGGCTAGGACCGTGCCACCCAGTTCGACTTGGAAATACGGAAGGCACGAGTGCGGTACGAGTCCCGTTTCCTAGCAGCAAGACTTTTGTCCGCTGCCTTCTTCAGCACTGCCCTCATGCTGTCATCTACCATCGCCAAAAATGCGTTTCCGGGGTGAGTACGCCTAGCTTCATGGGGCTGCACACAGTAAGATAGGTTCTCGTACTAAAGATACACATACATTTATTACTAAATTTATCATTACTTCATACACACACGCACACGCACGTACGCACGCACGCACGAACGCACGCGCGTGTGTGCGTATGCGTGTATTTAGTCATGATAAAGTTAGTACTAAATGTTTGCATATGTTTGACACGGGAACCTATCTTACTGGGCGCAGCCCCTATGGAGCTAGGCGTGCTATGTGTGCACACACATGGAGCCCATTTATTTTCTCCAGGTATGTTAAATCCTGTAATTTTGAGGTCAAATAGTTCAGAAAAACATGTCAAATAAACTCAAGTTGGCTTCTAAATACCATCAAAACAAAGCACGGACTTGATTCCTAAGTTATTTACGGCTAGCCGGCTGAGCGATTTAATTAGCTGATGGTCAATGATCAACGCAAAATTTGTCCTTTGTTCTAGAGGAGTACAAAATATCCTAGCATTCAAAACATGTCAAGAACGTCATGTACAAGTATACTAAGTCCTACACATCCAAAAGCAAAGGAAATGACACCTATGACGCAGGCGGCACACAAAATTACGTTCGACAGTTGTGCGTAAAAATTCATCGGCACATATCCGACTGCCCTAAGGCTAAAGCACCAAGTCCAATAGGGACGGAACCTGAGCGATCATGGGTGCCGCGGGAGGCCAATAGAGACTGAGCCTGAGCGATCATGGGTGCCGCGGGAGGCCAATAGAGACTGAACCTGAGCGATCACGGGTGCCGCGGGAGGCCAATAGAGATTGAACCTGAGCGATGGGTGCCGCGGGAGGCCAGTAGAGACTGAACCTGAGCGATCACGGGTGCCGCGGGAGGCCAGTAGAGACTGAACCTGAGCGATCACGGGTGCCGCGGGAAGCCAATAGAGACTGAACCTGAGCGATCACGGGTGCCGCGGGAGGCCAATAGAGATTGAACTGAGCGATCACGGGTGCCGCGGGAGGCCAATGGAGGCTGATCCTGAGCGATCATGGGTGCCGCGGGAGGCCAATAGAGGCTGAACCTGAGCGATCACGGGCGCCGCGGGAGGCCAGTAGAGACTGAACCTGAGCGATCACGGGTGCCGCGGGAGGCCAATAGAGACTGAACCTGAGCGATCACGGGTGCCGCGGGAGGCCAGCAGAGACTGAACCTGAGCGATCACGGGTGCCGCGGGAGGCCATAGAGAATGAACCTGAGCGATCACGGGTGCCGCGGGAGGCCAATAGAGACTGAACTGAGCGATCACGGGTGCCGCGGGAGGCCAATAGAGACTGAACCTGAGCGATCACGGGTGCGCGGGAGGCCAATGGAGGAACCTGAGCGATCATGGGCGCCGCCGGGGACCAACAAAGAGGCTCCCTAACCTAACCCACCTAACCTAACCTACAAATATACAACAAAATAGGACATTCAGAGCAAGCAGTAAGAACCCAAGACTAAAGTGGCGGGCCCCTAAACAATCGGGAGAGCTCTGGCAGGCTGACATGTAAGGCCCCTGCCAGAGTACAGGATCCTCTGAACAAAGGGGCATCACCCAAGACCATGAATCAATGCCCCCTGGCAATCAAGAGTGCCCGAGCAGGTTAAAAGAAAGGGCCCCGATAGGACTGAAGAGTCCACCGCGAATGAAACCAAAGGGAAGTGGCCCTCGATCATAGTAGAGGACCCCTGAGCATCGAGTGCCGCGGTGCCTCACCATATATGATGCACAGCAACAGCACACGGCCCTCGGAGCAAGTGGAAAGCGTATATATATATATATATATATATATATATATATATATATATGACTAGTATAAAGGGCCCCTGGGCAACTGAGTGTGCCTGGGCATATCGGGCCCCGGAAAAAGCGTGTGGAGCCTTTCGGGCAAATGGAAAGAAACGTGGAGGAAAACCTGATTGATCAAGATCACCAACGCATGGAAGCAGATAGCGTCCCAACAGCAGCATTGGGCCCTTCCAAAAAATGCAAGGAGATCAAAGGCAACGTGGAAAGCTCCTTAATGATCAGATCGACCTGGCAAGTGGACATAAAGGGCCCGGGCAACAGTGTAAGACCTCTGGACAGCGAGATGCGCCCAACAATTTCCCGCAATAAACAGAACACGTTAACAAATGGGACCCCCGTCAAGAGCGTAGGGTCCTACGTTCAGATAGGAAGTACACAAGACCCGATGTGCAAGTTCCCCAACGATCGGACGTGCCTGTGCAGCTCATCAGAAAGAGCCCCGGCAAGAGCTGAAGGCTATCCATTCAAATAAGAAGTACCGAAACCCCAGCCTGGAGGGCCCTCTAAAGATGGAGCGTACCTGAGCAGGCTATCAGATGGCTCCGATAGGAGTGTAGGGTCCTAAATTCAAACACCAAGACGCAATGTGCAGGGCTCCGATCAACCCAGTATGACCACGGAGACGAGCTGAGGGGGCCGCCGACAAGAACGTTGGACCTTCTATTCAAATAGAAGGAACCCAAGACCCAATTTGGAAGGCTCAGAACGACCGAGTGTGCCTAAGCAGGTTAACAGATGGCCCCCGACGTGAGCGTAGGGCCATAAGCCTGCAGAGCCTTTCTGATCAGTGGAAAGAATCCGTGGAAGGCCCCTGATTGACAAGACCGTCCCGACACGCTAGCAGGGAGTATCTAGCAACAGCGCAGGGCCCTTCGAGCAAGCGCAAATAAATCAATGGCAACGTCGAAGGCTCCTTAGCGATCGAGATAACACTGATCGGAATCCCCCGGAAGCAGCGTAGGGCCCCTGGAGAATCCCATGATACTTAAAATTCTCAATTAACAGCTTTTTCAATCATTGAATACATTTTGTCTGCCAGTGGGTCCCTCATTTTTGCTTGCGACCGTTCTTACTTGCTCACCTGGAAATCTAAAGACGTCCAATTTTGTCAAGTTTTGTGTGATAACTATACTTGTTCAATTGGCTATGGGCCGTTCGGAGCCTATGGGCTCCTTCAGGATCAAAGAAGGCATGAGCATCAGGGAACACCAGGGGCCCACCACAGATTCCTTCCATTCACGCAAAAGGCCCTACGCTATTGCCGGGGCCACACATGTTAGGCTGCTAGGGTCGGGTCCTCAGGGGCCCTTCACATTGGTTTCGGCTTCTTTCCACGTCTTCGGCGGGACCAGCGCTGTTGCTGGGGGCCATATAGGTTATTGTACCGAAGCACTCAATGCCCAGGGTGCTCTACACTGGCATAGGGCTCTCATTTGCGGGTGACCATACACTATTGCTGGGATTATTTATGTTAACCTGTCCGGAAACTCTTGATCGCACAAGGGTCAGCAACATTGGTATTGGGCATTTCAAATTTACTCAGACGACCCTGCACTGCTGTCATTAGCCCTATACGTTCATGTTTCAAGGTACTCCCGATCGCGCAGATGGCTTGCGCATTGATCATGGGTTGTTTCCCGTTTGCTCGGAGGGCCCAACGCTCTGACCGAGCCATATGTGTTCACCTACCGGGTACTGTCGATTATTCAAGGGCCCACAATTTTGGTCCTGTTTTTCCATTTGCTCGTAAGACCGTTTACGGTTGATATGAGCCTCTGTGTTGAGCTGCTGGCTCACCTATCGATCCGTTAGATGACGACCCTGCTGGTCTTGGGGTTTTCTTATTTATCGGAGGACCTACGCTGTTGACGGAGCTCTACGTGTTAGTCAGCTGGGTCACTCTTGATTGCTCTGGGGCCTCCCACATTCGTTTTGGGCTCTTTCTATTAGGTCAAAAGCGTCTTATTCTGTTGCCAAAGGCTCAACGTGTGCTTGCGAGCGCCAGCACTTCCGTCATTCATGGTGTTCTGCCAGCTCGGGTATACGGGTCTGGCTGAATTATTTCAGATAAGTAAGTTCGAGATCTACACGATGACAATGTTCCGCGGGGTTTTAGCTGCACATCGTAGCAGCCACATCTGTTCCGACAATTTTTACGCGCAATTACCTAAGAACTTCAAGCGCCACCAGCGAAATATATTGCATTGCCCTTGATTGTTCATTTGTGCCTCTCATTATGGTGTGCACTCCACTTCTAACACAGTTTATATGCTAACATATTTTACATTTCCATCATATCCAAAACCATAACACTGCATTTGTTGATAGTCATTGGCTGTTCACAGCACCCACCAGCTGGCTAGCCGCCGGAAACCGGCTGGCCGCAACCAACCCTGGGATCAAGTGTCGTGCTGGACTTTGATGGTATTTAGCAGCCCATATGAACCTATGTTGCCATATCTTGTCAACAACATTGAGCCTTAAAATAGCGGTGCACACCATGATCTGAAGACAATGAACGCGCTCTATGTATGCACATACGTCCGACACTTGGCCTTCTGGGGCCGCGCACAGAAATATTGTTCCCGCATACAAAATGGCAGGCATAAAAATTTTGAAAATTAAAAGAAGAAATCTGAGGATTTTTGGAGAACGGACTCCAAACTATAGAGTGGCCCACAATGTTGCGTGGCCACCTCCTTGACTCAATTATGGACCAGCCTCTGCCTGCGTAACGGTGGCAGAAGCCAATGCAATCATGCCATGCCGATTCTTGAGACGGTTCCAAACGTACGATTTCCCTCCAGGCGTCACAAGCAGTGAGCGTCTTTTAAGTGACATAAGTTCCGTCGTTTTGAGCTACAACACCATTCACTCTCATTTCAAAAGACGTATCCCACCTTTTTATGCCTCTCACTTATTGTTACATCAGACGCGTACAATTCATCAGTCGTACCAGTTCTCGAAATTCCTCTGGATATTTTAAACTTTTATTCGAAATAGCCAACGATGCGGGAGAAACTGGTTTGACTCACTATTCACCACTTTTAAAGCAATACATTTAGTATGCCTCGTTTTATCCAAGGTATGTCACCTATAATGTTAGCAACGCACTAATGTGTCAAAACGCTTGTGTGATAAATGCTGCGAAAGCTACGAACACTTTGCTAAGATGTGCGAACATGACGCCATTATTCCGAGACTTCAACGAAACGTCATGTGTTGAATTTGGTTTCTTCCCATATGGCGTTTGCCGCAGTAACTCTTCTCGGGGCGCACTTCGGTTTTGGAAATAGCAGCGCTACATGATCCATGCGACGCGCTGGTTCAAACTTCAACCAATGCGCTTCTAGGTAGCAGGCTCTTGCCCGCTTGGCCAATGACAAACGTTCTCTTATTCGCACTAGTAGAGGTGCGCACGGTGGTTGTCATGGTGAAGGCGACCGCGACTTTAAGGAAGAAGCGTAATGATTTTGCAAAGCGATGACAGCATAGCTAAGACCAAAAAATAATTAAAATTGATATGCTGATTATGTTTTTTATGGCGCTCCAGTGGCACTATCCAGTGCTATTATTGGACGTAACTAGTCTTGAAGTTTCACTGGATTATGTTTCTCTTAAATATTCCCCAAAGGTGGGACACCCCTTCAAGTTTCGTTGGGAGAGGGGGAAGGGTTACGCGGTCAGCGAGCCTTTCGCAGATGCTCTTGAAGACATGTCTCTGTGCAGGAGGAAACACGAGAAATAATGGCGGACGGAAGCACAACCCAAAAATGTGTACTGAAAACGTTCAGCGCGCTTCAGGCACGCGAAATTTCTTGCGTGACGCAAAACAACATCGCATATCGTCGATCTTATCTTTACCTGTCCGCCTGGCACTTTTAGCTGTCAACACTTAATCACGCACGTATAAAACATGACATAGATTCAGGAAGGAGAGCGCACATCCTCAGGAGCTTGTACGTGTGCAAGCTCCTGTCTCTGTACACAGTGAAGAGCGATTAAAGCTTTCCTACAGCAGCTAACGAGGATCAAATCGTGCCTCTGCCGTCGTTTTCGCCGGGCCAAAAACAAACGCGTTAGCCCATTTCTTGTTGTGGAAAGCTCTCATAACCGTGCAGTTCGGACTGGGAACACTGAAACGCAGTCATTGAAACCAGTCACCCGTGTTAAGTTAAAACGGCGGCTTGTGCTCGATTATCGGATGGCCATCACCGCGCCTTCTTTGGCATTCCGGAAACTTCAAGCCAGCCATGCTGTATCTAATAATAAATATGTATTTAATACATAATAATAACATATACAATAATAACATATACATATACAATAACATATACATATAATAATAACATATACATATACAAATAACATATACAATAATAACATATACAATAACATAATACAAATAATAAAATATGTCATTGTTGCATTTCTGAACTACATTGCCGTGTTTCTGAACTACACTGCTGTGTTTCTGAACAACGTTGTTGTATTTCTGAACTACGTTGTTGTGTTCATATCTCACCACTGCCGCAATGCTTTGATACAGTTCAGCTCCAGTCTGACAGGTCAATGTATTCAAGGCTTCCTTTACCTATCCACCCAAATCAGAGCACGGCTCGTTGACAAGGACTTCCATTGCAGAATTCACGGACCAAAAAATATAGATACTTGGATATCAATGAATCACACTTAGCATGCAACAATATCCAGAACGAACACAAAGTGCACGCCTCACCAGAGACCCGTACTCACCATCTTTTTTGGTGTCAGATTTGCGTTTTATTTTCCTCTTGTACACCCGGAGCAGAAACTTGGCATACTTGTCGCCGGGTATGTTGTTGGTGACCTCCTTAGCCAGTGCGACGATCCCCTGCTCCAGCTCCTCTTGTTCCCGTGTACGCGCCTCGAAGCGCTGGGTCACCTCGGCCAGCTGCCAGCGAACAGCCGACAGTGAAGTCGAGGTTGCTGAGAGCCCAAGGCCCAAACCGCACCAATACGGCAGAACAGGGACAACGTGCGGTACACTGAGTCACATAGACAAGACGGTCTAGCGAAAGACAGTCATCCTTCAGAAACCTCCCGTCCAAGAGCCTAAGCATGCTCAGCTTCACACTGTTTATGCCCGCGCGGCCGCATTCGAAAAGTGACTGGCATGGATATTTCCACTCAGTTTGAAAGGGTGACTTCTTGCATGCCCACTGTGCGTTCAAACAGCACGGTCGACAGCATCAGGCAAAACAACAAAATGGTTGCGGTTTGATGACTCATCTCACTCGACCGCGTGCGACCGCTCAGATTCTGTTTTATTCAGACCAGCAGTCATGTTCAGTTCTGGGGCAGACCCCTCGCCCGCCTTTTTTGAAATCGCCGTGACATCTTACCGCCATCTGTGCCTCCGTGTCCTCCTGCATCTTTTCCTGGAGTACGCGGTTTAGCAATGCCTCTTGCTTTTCGAACTCGCGCACCAGCACCAGCTCACGGAACCTGGAGCACGGCGGGTGCTCTGCCTCACCAGGGTACCAATCGTTCACAGCCATCCGACCGGGCAGTCAGCCGGCCCGGGGACCCCGACCAGGCAGTCAGCCGGCCTGGGGACTCCGTCCAGGCAGTCAGCCGACCCGGGGACTCTGGCCAGGCAGTCGGCCGGCCCGGGGACCCCGGCCAGGCAGTCAGCCGGCGTGGGGACTCTGGCCAGGCAGTCAGCCGGCCCGGGGACCCCGGCCAGGCAGTCAGCCGGCGTGGGGACCCCGGCCAGGCAGTCAGCCGGCCCGGGGACCCCGGCCAGGCAGTCAGCCGGCCCGGGGACCCCGGCCAGGCAGTCAGCCGGCCCGGGGACTCTGGCCAGGCAGTCAGCCGGCCCGGGGACCCCGGCCAGGCAGTCAGCCGGCCCGGGGACTTTGGCCTGACATAGCCGATCGCTTACCGATAGCTTCCAAAACCATGGGCGGATCCAGGACTTCGTCAAGGGTGGTACACGCTTCATTGCAGTCCCCCTGGAACTTGGCGCCCTCCTCCCCCCCCCCCCCCCAACAAAAAGTCCCCGAATTTCGACCACTTCATTGTGCAATTCTTAACTTTTAATCGGCAAACAATCTTCTGCTTGAACGGCCCACCGGATTTAACTCACTTTGATTTTGGAGGTAAATTTTCTTCTATGTAAAACCTGAAGATATGAAACACGAAACATGAAGTATGTTGGGCTTTTTCAGCTGAAAGAGAAGCTAGAAGTTACCGGAAGAGACAACTCAGCACGTATTTAGGAACAAATGGAACCAAAGTAGGCAGGAATTAAATGACTGCATCAACTAAACGGCAGGCGCTGTTTAACTTACAATGGACTATTTGTTCCTTTCTAGTGAATAATAGTATCCAAGAGCGTTGCCGGAGTTACTCGGGTTTTCCAAAGATGTTGAAAGGTCAGTGGAGTGAACGACAGCGTAGATGGAAACGACCAAATATTTACATTGATATGCCTATGTTCCTCCTTGAACTATCCCTCGTTCCTTGGGATAGTTCAAGTTTTCTTCAGAATCCACCTGCGAAAAGCAAAATATTAACTAGTTTTGAGCAGTAGTGCTCTCCGCCTAGACAAAAAAAAAACACCGACGCCCGCGTTGTGGTCCGTACGGGCTGCGCGGAGCCGGCCTCCCAGTAACACACGGCGGCAGGCCAACGGGCGGGTGAAATTGGTGACGTGGAGGACAGTGGCACTTCAAACGCTTCATGAAATAAGTTGCCTCGTGTTGCGGTAACTACAACACGACGGAGGGATACATTATACAACGGGCCCCTCTCTCAAGCGGTAGGCTCTCGGGCCAGGACATCTGGCAGCAGATCGACGCAGTGCCTTGAGTGTGTCAAAGGATCTTTTAACGAAGCGCGCGGGAGTCCAATAATTGGTACAGAGACAACACTGCCGCTTATCGGCCCCTGTTGAAACGGTGCGGGTGAATCCCTCGTTCGGTACTGGGAGGGCTGGGGACTGAGACGCTAGGTCTGTCGATACCTGGGGGGGGGCTGGGGACTGACGCAATGTCTGTCGGTACGGGGGGCTGGAACTGAAGCAGGGTCTGTCGGTCACTGGGGCTGGGACTGACGCAAGGCAAAGAGGGTCTGTTCGGTACTGGGGGCTGGGACTGAAGCAGGGGTCCTATCGGTACTGAGGCTGGGACCTGACGCAGGGTCTGTCGGTACTGGGCCTGGGACTGACGGCAGGGTCTGTCGGTACTGGGGGTGATGACGCAGGGTATGTCTTGGGGACTGACGAGGGTCTTTCAGTACCGGGTCTGGGACTGACGCAGGGTCTGTCGGTATTGGGGCCTGGGACTGACGCAGGGTCTGTCGGTACTGGGCCTGGGACTGACGCAGGGTCTGTCGGTACTGGGGCTGGGACTGACGCAGGGTCTGTCGGTATTGGGGCCTGGGACTGACGCAGGGTCTTTCAGTACCGGGTCTGGGACTGACGCAGGGTCTGTCGGTACTGGGCTGGGACTGACGCAGGGTCTGTCGGTACTGGGGCTGGGACTGACGCAGGTCTGTCGGTATTGGGGCCTGGGACGCAGGGTCTTCAGTACTGGGGCTGGGACTGACGCAGGGTCTGTCGGTATGGGGCCTGGGACTGACGCAGGGTCTGTCGGTACTGGGGCGGGACTGACGCGGCTGGTAGGGTCTGTCGGTACTGGGCCTGGGACTGACGCAGGGTCTGTCGGTATGGGGCTGGGACTGACGCAGGGTCTTCGGTACCGGGCCTGGGACTGACGCAGGGTCTGTCGGTACTGGGGTGGACTGGGTCTGTCGGTACTGGGGTGGGACTGACGCAGGGTCTGTCGGTACTGGGGGCTGGGACTGACGCAGGGTCTTTCGGTACTGGGGCTGGGACTGACGCAGGGTCTATCGGTACTGGAGCTGGGACTGACGCAGGGTCTGTCGGTACTGGGCCTGGGACTGACGCAGGGTCTGTCGGTACGGGGGGCTGGGACTGACGCAGGGTCTGTCGGTATTGGGGCCTGGGACTGACGCAGGGTCTTTCAGTACCGGGTCTGGGACTGACGCAGGGCGCAGGGTCTTTCCACTTTATGATAGTGAATGCCAACTCTTGCCTCGTTATTTCCCATATATTCATTCATTGCCAAGAGGACCGTGACCAGCACAAGAGACGCATTGACGTTCGCAGTTCCACCCCTGAGCCTATTCCGAAAATGTGCCCCCGGTCTTTCCCATGCCCTCCCCCGCCCCACCTCCATCTCGAGATATGGGCACACACGCAGCTCGACGAGCCAAACGGGGCGCGGCTATGAAGTTAATAATCTTCCGCAGAAACACATCGTGGCTCCATGCGGCATTCGGCGGGTGATAGGCATTTAACGGGACTGTGCCAGGACCTCCGCTTATCTACAAAATCATGTGAATTGCCACCTGACGGCGGGACTTGCGTGGCATCAAAAACTGAAGTCCATCGCAAACTCTCCTGCGATGCAGACGCGTGTCTGGTTCTCATTTCGTCTCCATTCAGCTGCCACCATATGAATCTCATTTGGAAAACCTAGTGTTGACGTCCAGAAACACGCCGCATGTCACAGGAGGTTACGGAAATCGCGTGGCGATCTGACCTGAATCTCATCAGGCAAGCCTAGTGTTGACGTCCAGAAACACGCCGCATGTCACATGAGGTAACGAAAATTGCATGGCGATCTGACCTGAATCTCATCAGGCAAGCCTAGTGTTGACGTCTAGAAACACGCCGCATGTCACAGGAGGTAACGAAAATCGCATGGCGATCTGGCCGGTAACGCGTGGTGATATCTGTCTCTGTCATATCTATTGGAATGGGTCGATATAGCCGCAGTAGCCGTGACATCTGACTGAACAGTCCTGGCACTGGCACTACTCAGCCATGTGACCCGCCTGGCGGGTCACGGGCGCCTGGCACCAACTGACCTGGTGATGAGACGGAGGTCGGCGTTTTTCAGCTCGTACTCGATGCGCACCATTTCCTTCCACACTTCGTACACACACTCGTCAAACTCTTCAATCAGCTCGCTCATCTTGCGCAGCTCCTGGTCGCGCGCGAACGCCGTCCTGCAACACACGAAGCCACCTGACAGTAAGTTGTGGGAAGGATCACGGGGCGCAACAACGCAAACCTCTCTTAGTGTTCCTAGCGCTCCACAAAGTGGCACCTGTCAATTACAAGGACAGGCTCCCTTGCTTCGCATCGGCTGGGCCTGGAGCAGGCTTTGTCTGAGACAGAGAGCACAGATCATCCCCAGCTGACCTCGAAGTACCGTCGCCCATCGCTGCCCCCTAGTGTTCGCGTTCGTGGCCCCTTCCCCTCCCCCTCCGCGCTCACCGCATCTCGGCGACTTTGGTGAGCGTCTGGTCGGTGTCGGACCGCTGCACGACCGGGCGGGCGCGGTGCGCGCCCACCTCCATCGCCGCCTGGTGGCGGGCGCGCAGCAGGCTGCGCCGCCGCAGCGAGCCCAGTGGTGTGCCCGCGGCGCCCGTGCTATCGGTCGCCGAGCTCTCGGCCGCCGCCGCCGCCGCCGCCTGTGCCGCCGCCGCCGCCTGCGCCGCCGCCACCACCGCCGGGTCCTCGTGCGCGATGGCGGCGGCGGCCGCCGCCACCTTGCGGTACTCAGCCAGCGCCTCCTCCGAGATCTGAGCCGGCAACGGCAATACGGTAAGCCATTGCAACAGACGCCCGCTGCTGGTGTTCTTGACATGCGCACACATTCACCTATGCTTTCGGAACGGCACCGGCTTCCACGGGTGGCTATGGGGGCATTCCGACGGCTGCTCTCGCAGCCGTCAGAATCTTACAGACCGCACCAGCAAGCTAGTTAATTCAAAACTAGCCAGACCCTTTTGACCTTAGCGATAGTAGTATCGCCACCAATCCCCGGCTAAAGCCGCACAAAATAAGGCACACGTCATCGCACCTGGCCGATCAGATGTGTGACTCCGACGTCAGCCAGCCGGGACTGACCTGGTAGATGGCCTCGGGCGACTCGTCATCGGCCAGACTCGGCTGCTCCGGCAGCTTGACGTGCTGCGAGGGCGGCAGCTTCTTCTGCAGCTCCCCGGCCCTGGTGAGTGATGCGCAAATTTCGCGCAGCACCTCCTTCTTCCGGCGGCGCAGCTCCAGCACGCGGCTGTTGAACTCCGTCTTGTGCTTGCGAATCTGGCACGCAGAGAGCCAAACGGATAACAGTTGCGCGCACAGGTGTTCTGTCAAGTGCTGATTTAGTGTCCGGGCAACATTCAACGCATATTCGGGTGGGAGATCAATTTGACCCCCGCTTCCCAAAGTATTTTTCCAGGACAACGCCCGAATGGAGCGACGTAGTAACGCTTTACTTTGAACAGCTGTTGACGACTCAGAAGTTGAACTTTTTATGCCAGAATATAGACACATCTCTTAAGGTCACTGACCTGTAACAGACAAAGTCAGGCCATGCTTGTCAGCGAAGGGAACATTCTGAGCTGATGCGACAATGGGGTTTAAGACGAAGTCATGCAACTTTAAAGCCTTTTGGGAGCAATTATACTAATGACATTAGAATTGGAGCTTATTTTTCTATCCTTGGGTGAGGTATGAAAACCAGATCGAGGCTCAAACCAAAACACATCTTCTTACTTAAAAACGTGCCTCTGTGGATGGTTTTTGACAAAAATTCGGGATTTTTATTACAAGGTTAACAAATTGTATTTTGATTTCGTGAACGCCAGAGAAGATATTTGACGTGAATTAACCTCGATCAACCTTTTCCTTTCACGGACATGCAGCTTAGGGTAGGTCTTGACGCTGGTTTCAAATTCAGAATGATCTCGAAGTTTTTTGGCTTGTTTTGACCTTTTTAAATAAGATAAGGCCGCTGACCTGATATGACCCCTAAATACATTTTGCTTGGAAGCTGTTTCGGCTAAAGCACGGTTACATGCGGTCAGACGGCACGTTGAGTGCTGATCTCGATCTCAACCGTGTTTGACCCGAAGACCACGACATAATGAAGTACAAAAGACACCAGCGAATTCACATCGAGCCCCACGTACTCTGCGCCTCTTGTCACTCTAGCTCGCTTAGCTTTTGAAATATCAGAGGGTCAAACCGGCCCCAACCCCTACCATCCCGAGTACCTTCTAATCAGCTGACCACCCCGGTGCGTGTTAAACAACACTTGTTCCTCCGCGTGATTCATTGAAACTTTCCACTTTAATTTATCTAAGCTGAGAAGAACTCGATGCTTCGCCCATATTTCACATGCTACTAGTGTCCGTAACACGAGTGTACCCATGCAGTTTCGTGCACCAGTCTAAAAAATGTATAGCCTCATGACATGTCTGCTACAAAAAAACCGGGTCGGAGCTGCGTGTTTCCCCTGCTTACTGCGAGCTCCTGCTCCAAAGCTGACCGCCTCACTTTATAATCCCAGGCAGTTCTGCGAACAGGCTGGTCACGCCGAGGCGTTGTGAGCACCGCACTGTCTTATGCCGTCTGATCAGCGAGATAGATGAACCCACCAGCAGCTACAGTCTGCCCACCTCTTCCTTGACGGAGATGAGCTGGTGCCGCTTGAGGCGAGCCGTGTTCTGGCGCGAGTCGACTACCTTGAAGTCAGCGGCCGTTTTCAGCTTGAAGTCGCCCAGGCTGTCGAGCGCAGTCTGGATGGCGGCCAGGTCGGTCGGGTCGTCGCGGTTTTGGTCGGGCCGACGGGCCATCATGTTAGCCCACTGGCGGCGGCCGGCCAGGTCAGCTGAGAGCGATGAAGCCGCCCGCCGCCCGACGCGGCTTCTGTCGCGGCAGGCGGAGGTGGGGACGCGTGGCAGCCAGCCACCAGTCGCGATCACGCCGACCGCAGCTCAACAACGAGGCACCTTACCGTACGTACAGCTGCTGACGTCACTGACTCACGACGCCGACCCGGGAACCTGGACACAAGCGGCAGCAGGCTTCTAACCCATCAACTGACGCTCCCGGGCGGACTTTCCGCAACCGTGCTGACCAGTCCTCATCCCAGATCACCGCACCAGACGCCCGTCGCCAGCATACCACGCCACCAGCGGCGCAGCTCCGCCCGCCCGCCCACCTGTGTTCTGCGGCGCCGCCGCCTGGTCTTCTTCTCCTCGAGCCGCAGGAGGGCGCGGTAGGCCCGGATGCCGACGCTCTTGCGCGTCTGGCGGCGCGCACTGACCGACATCTGCTCAAACCGATTGGCGTCCGGGTCGGCCGGGACCGCTATCCGGGAGCGGGAGGGGACCGCGCTCGACCTGGGCCCAGCCAGAGGCGTCAGTGGAGGCGCAGCCAGCGGTCGGCTGTTCCAGCAGGCTCAAAACGATCGCGTGCAAAAGCGGGCCACTAATTAACAGCGTATGAATGATGGTACTGATCAGTGGCATTAGTCTAACCAAGATGAGTTTATTGTTACCATTGCCAAATGAATAAGAAAGCACGCTTGTATGAATTGATTGGCAGAAAAACGTAATTGTTAAAGTGGCTACGTTCGTCCAGATCACGGCCACTTTTGTTTCTCCCCACCGGATCGGTCACGGTCAGACCCCGTTGTACAGGCCGACACTGAAGGACAGTGGTGCCCGGCATGACAGGTAAGCCGGACCTATCCGGTCCTAGAAACGGACGTGCCGGCCGGACCTACCAGGTCCTGGAGACAGACAGGTCGGCCGGACCTACCCGGTTCTAGAGACGGACAGGCCGGCTGGACCTACCCGGTCCTGGAGACAGACGGGTCGGCTGGACCTATCCGGTCCTGGAAACGGACGTGCTGGCCGGACCTACCAGGTCCTGGAGACAGACAAGTCGGCTGGACCTACCCGGTCCTGGAAACGGACATGCCGGCCGGACCTACCCGGTCCTGGAGACGGACAGGCCGTCCGGACCTACCCGGTCTTGGGGACAGACAGGCCGGCTGGACCTACCTGGTCCTGGAAACCGACATACCGGCCGGACCTATCCGGTCCTGGAGACGGACAGGCCGGCCGGACCTACCCGGTCCTGGAGACGGACACCACGTCCAGCTGGCTGACGGCCGAGTCGCTCTGGTCGCGCGCCTCCAGGAAGCTCTCGGACAGCGTCTTGACGCGGAACGTCCACACCTCGCGGCAGTTCCTGTGGCGGGGCCGACACGGCGCCAGCCTCAGCGCCGCAGCTTATGTTTGGGGAGGGGATGGGCGCGCTGGCAGGGCAGCGCTACTCGTTCCGAGGTAAATGCACGTGCGGCACGTGTGGCTCGTTGCAAAGACTCAGCTCTGGACCACGACGGTATGAAAGCGTACCAAAGGAATCGTTACGCTCAAACAAGAAGCAGTGATACTGGCGATGCCACCTTCCCTGGTCGTGTTCTGTGGCGTCACGGATCAATTGCTGAACTGCAACTTTTTCAATGATCACGCCATTATCAGTAAAACAAGCAGAAAGTTCAAAAGCGAATATTCATAAACGACGATGCGATCTCAGTCCTCACTCCACCGGCCACGTATCACAAGGTGTATTACGTTCTCCAACTTCTGGCGCGCCTCCTCCGATCGCTACCATTCAGTAGAGGTGTGGTCCACGGGTTGGGCTCATGATCGAGGGGCCTGGTTTGGGTCTCCGTCACGGTACACCACTGGCCCTAGTTTTCGCAACGGCGTGGCGCCGCTGCTGATGTCTTAACACGAGCCAGTCGTCAACGTAACGATAGAGCAAGACTGACGCTTACTTGAAACCTCGCACAACCACCCTGTCGTAGTCCACGGTGCTCTTGAACCTGTCAAACAACTTCTTGCGCCCCAAACGGTACTTATCAGCTTCCCATTCCATCTCCTTCCGAGCCTGTGAGTGGGAAAAATGTGCCTGAATAGGGAATCCTCTATGAGAAGACGGAGACGCTGATAACAAATTTCATGGAGGTAGGCCTGAAAGAAATGAAGCGGTAGAAGCTGACCTTGTTTGTCATAATTGTGTGGCGAAAGAACGCTGTAAATTTTTCCTGTGGATGCATTCGAAATTGAATTTTCAACTCGACGAAGCTCAAGACAAGTTGAAATCAGTGAGAAGACGACAAAGTCCGACGAAAACAGTTTTTGTGCTAAATAAACAAACAAAAAACCTTCCAAACGTCTCCACGTCCTCAGCTCCATCTCCATGCCCCTGCCCGGCCACTGACCGTCTCGAGGTTCTCCTCAGCTCTGCGTTGCTGCTCTGCCCTGATCCGTTCGTCCAGCAGCAGGTCTTCATGGCTGAGGGCTACCTCTTTCGGCAGAGCCTGATTCCTGAACGGCACCGGTGGCAACAGTCAACTGAACCATGCAGGACGCTAAGCTTGTTTGGAACGCCATAAAAGGTAAGCCCTGTCACAGCACAAATCATGCTCGATGACTCCAGCACCGAGGAAGTGCACACTTAGCAAAATAGCCTGCTGGTCGCTGCAGCAATCCATGTCACACTTTATGTCGGCGCACTTCATGACGAAGCAGCTGAAGCACTCACAGGTTCAAAGCATCACCATGGCATAGTCTTCCAAGCGATCCATCGCACTCCTCTGCCAAACCAGCCTGTACTGTTCACCTGACTGCCAGCTAAGGACTCGCGTCAGCCGGCTATGACAGGGTGTCTCCACCAGGTGGCAGGTCGGTCGCGACCCCGGCACGGCAGCGCCGTCCTGTGGAGGACAGGCCGCACACTCCGTCCGCTCGGACATCCCCGCCCGGCCCTGGTGCGGGGCGCGACAGCTGACCCGACAAGGCCCGGTCGCCGACTCACTGGACGATCCACTGCTTGAAGTCGCGCCGCAGCTCGGCCAGCTCGGTCTTGACGGCCGCCTTACGCTGCTCAGCCAGCTGCAGCCGGGCATCACGCGCCGATCGCTGCCGCTGCTCCTCCAGACTGTACGACTGCGGGTCGTCGATTTCGTCCACCCGCTCCTCCGGCTGATGGGACCAGACACCGGGCCCCGGTCAGCGGGACACGCGAGCGCACGAGCGGCTGACGGGACCATGTACCGGGCCACGGTCAGCGGGACACGCGAGCGCACGAGCGACTGACGGGACCACACACCGGGCCACGGTCAGCGGGACACACGAGCACACGAGCGGCTGACGGGACCACACACTGAGTTCCGGTCAGCGGGACACGCGAGTACACGAGCGACTGACGGGACCACACACTGAGTTCCGGTCAGCGGGACACACGAGCGCACGAGCGACTGACGGGACCACATACCGGGCCCCGGTCAGCGGGACACACGAGCGCACGAGTGACTGACGGGACCACACACTGAGTTCCGGTCAGCGGGACACACGAGCGCATGAGCGGCTGACGGGACCACACACTGAGTTCCGGTCAGCGGGACACACGAGCGCACGAGTGACTGACGGGACCACACACTGAGTTCCGGTCAGCGGGACACGCGAGCGCACGAGCGGCTGACGGGACCACACACCGGGCACCGGCCAACGGGATACGCCAGCACATGAGCGGCTGACGGGACCATATACTTGGCCCTGGTCAGCGGGTCACACGAGCGCACGAGGGATCCACGATTACCCCGATCGTGACAGTGCACATGTGTTGAATCACTTTTTTGCCTAGAGGGCAAGGTCTGTCCTCTTCAACAGCATTCTGGAAAAAACCGTTTGTCGTGGTGTCCCTGGGTCACGTAACATACCCTGGTGTACCTGCTGTCTGTAGATACTATATTGCCATGGGGCATCAAACGAAAAACAATACACATCTGTTCACATCATCTCAGCCGATACCGTACCGCATCTTTACATTGTGGAATTTTTATGAGCCGTCAAGTTATCAGAGCGCGAGTCGCCTGGAGCATCAGCCCATTACTTGATTGGAGATGGTGGTGATCCGCCTGCAGTGTGGCCGCAGCCGCTCATCATCGTGGGCGCTAGTTACCAGGATCATGGTCGGCAATGCCAAATATGATTGTGGCTTCAGCAGTAATGTTTTACGTTTTGAGCATATGCTTTCCGGACATCGCCGTGACTTATTACCAAATCCGATGCAACTGAATCGCTCGTAATCATAATCTCCATGCAGTGCCCTGCAATGTTGATTCTTACATATCCGTCCACCTGGCAGCAATCAGTGCCACAATGCACGCCAGCACGCGGTTACGGCCGACCAGCCGCCGCCTCCCGATCCATCGACCAAATGGCGCGGCCGGGCGGGCCGAGGGCGGGCCGGGGGAGGAGGGAGACCGGTGGCGTGAGGTGGGAGCTGGCACGTCTACCTCGGCCGACACTCACCGGGCCGACCAGGGCGATCCTGGACGAGCGGGGCCGCGCCATGCCCTCCGGCGGATTGAAGTCGAACAGGAACACGTTGCCGTCCGCCCCGCATGTGATGACGTTCCTGAAAGCGTGCGACGCACTGCCCTTGTACGAATTCTAATTTGCCTATGGTGCTCACTGTACGACAGAGCAGTTCATGTCAATTATCTGAGGACACAGCTCTCGTGGTTTACGAGACGACTTATGAAATCAACTAAACGCATTTTCGATCAACGTATGCCTTGCAAGCGTCGATTATTAACACGGGCTCATCATAAGACAAAAATAAACTGGTTGCAGGATGTCACATCTCAGGCAGTCTTTCCGTGCAATCTTACATGATTTGCTTTTATTTAGAGCAGTGCGATCCTACATGATATGTTCTCATTCTGAGTGGCATCCAGTGCACGGCTACATGCGGCGCAATTGTGATGATGCCAAAAATGTTGCCACTGTTGTCTACTCGAGAGTGTTGAGTCCCGACGTCCATCAGCCATTGAGCCACAAAGCGGCAGTGACGGCTCACCTCTGGTCGTAGGTAAACTGGATATCGGTGATCCTGCCGTACGTGTTATCGTGCATGGAGAGCACCCAGTAGTCGTCCAGGTACCAGGGATTGTCCGGCTGCACCGCGTGCACCCGAATCCGGCCGTCGCAGAGGCCCAGCAGCAGGTACTGACCGTCGGGGCTGTAGACAGGGTAGCGGACGGCAGCTGTGATGTCGGCGCCCGCAGGCGACAGCGGTCAGGGAAAGTCGACAAACACGTCACGCAATGCTGTGCTGCAGAAAAACACACGCAGGAACCGGCCCGAAACCTTTTTGCAAACGCATCCGCCCTTTCAGAAAGGGGATTACTTCGATCAGTTTTTTTCCACCTCCACAGAATACTTTCAGGCATCAGAGTGTCCACAGTAGTTATGTGCGTTACCCATAACTCAGAAATAAGCCAACAGTCACATACTACTTGCCTACGTTCTTCTCAGCGAATCAGCACAGTGCAGCGCATGAAGTCACAATGCTGTACAAGCCTTACCCGGCCTTAACCGGTCTCCAGCCCGGCGTAGCTCCATACCCTGATAGCTGTCAACTGACGCATGCCGAGCCGCTGCAGGGGTCAGCGCCGCCACCAACGCCGGCTTCGCCGCGCCGACCTGGACTGAGCGCCGCCCAGTCAGCGGATGTCACGGCTCCTGTCCGAGCTGGCCCAGACCCGGCCCCGGCCGCCCCACCGGCCCTCTATAGCGCTTCCCCCCCCCCCCCCCCCTCTCACCACGTGGCGCCTCAACGTCGACACTGACCTGAAGCGGCGTACGCTGACGCCGACGTCCGAGGCGCCGGGAACGCGCACGGCCGAGGGGCGAGCCTCGCGGAAAGCGGCCGAGTGCACCCAGCCAGCGTCCCAGCCATCCATCAGCAGCGTGAAGCTGCCATCGGCGGCCGGCACGCCCACCAGCACGGCCGACGGCGGCTCCGGCACCACCAGCGGGATCTCCGGGATGTCGCGGTCCTCCGCCGCCAGCCGCTTCTCCAGCTTGTCTGAAGACGGCCGCAGGAGGGGAGTCAAGGCACATCAGCGGCAGGCTGGCACACAAACCGAACAGGTTCCAACGCCCACGGTCCTAAAGAAGCGAAACTAAATGATGGGTGAGACTGATCGCGCGATTATAACTCTATTCTGCCAGATATGGTGATACAATAAAGTGTCACAGTGACGGCAGCACAGCCACGACAAGATAAGACTGAACGAGTTATTTCCGATTCGACCGTCACCAGCCCGATCGTCACCAATCCGATCGTCGTAAAAAATTATCACTAAATAGGACGTATTTACGAGAAGCCATCAGGACGGGATGCCTATTTATATTATCTAAGCATTCTACCTTCCCAAACGTCGATTCGTCTTACAGCTATTTCTGCTAAAATGTCATCAATGGCTCACAAGAGTTGATTACCATAAAAGTCTAGTCTGGGAATTATTTGATAGCCGTGACTGTGTAGCCGTGACTGCATGGCCCTGACTGTATAGCTGCTGAAATAACTATTTAACAAATGGTGCAAAAACAAAACTTAAGGCAAGATATCGCTCATGAAAATAACGTGGGCAAAATTTGTTAGCACGTATTTAGGATCAGGGTGTTCTCCTGGCCCTCGGCTCAGCCATGCGTCCGTCATTTACAAAAATCGACGCGCTTGCATGAGAAAGAACATCGACCCAAAGTTCAATGAAGCCAAGTAGCGGAGTCTGTTTTCGGCATACCTCATCCTTTTGGTAGAGCAGTCCGGAACTGTTTCATCGAAATCACACGAACTCCTTTATGATAGCGAAGTGAACTCCGACGCGTTTAACGAATTTTCATCTCCCGGAGAACAAACTGAACCCGTAATAACGCCGTTACTGCGTAGCCGTCCTGCCCCGTAAACTACTAGAGTACAAAGATCAACTTCCTCCCTCACTGGCAACGCGAGCACAGACAGTTACTACTGCACGCTGCGGATCCGCACCAATGCAAAGCCCACCCTGACTGCCGCGTCATGCCCCACCGCCACCGCCCAGCAGTGCAGCACTCGACCACGGGACCTGCCGGGCCGAGCTGGGCTCGTCCAGCACACCTACCTTTCTCCACCTCCTCTTCCACCTCGACGCCGACCTTCTTGCGCTCGTCGATGTCCTCCTGCAGCGCTGTCCGCTGTTTTTGTTTCTCCTCCTCGCGGGCGATACGCGCTTCCTCCTGCAGGATCTCCGATTTCACCTGACAGCGGAGCGCCCCGGCGTCGGATCTCACACGGCGCGGGGTGCAGCACGCCCGGGCGTTTTGGGGGGTGGGCGTGAAATAGCTGGCAACAAGGACATCTATCGAAGTTAAGTGAGGACTCGGTGTCCTGTCAAACGCTTAGTAGATTCGCAAGTTTGCGCTGACTGGGATTGCCAGTGTTTATCCGGGGTCCAGACCGGGGAACCGGATATCGTGATGCACCAGCGTCATGCTTCCAACGCGTGCGAGCAGATAAAACCAGGGTAAAATAGTGGGGTGCCATTTTGAATACATTTCTACGAATGCATTTAGTACGGCGCTCGAAAGCGGGTGCCCACTTTTGCAGGCTGTTAAAACACATCATGCAGTGAAGTATGCGAGCTGTCTGAACGTGTCACCAAAAATGCACCTGGCTTACACAAAACACGCGACAAGAAGCTCATTTGGACACATTTTAAACGTCAACATCTGGTCAACACTGTAAACAGCACGGTAGCACTCGAAGTTCAGTAGCCAACACGCGGCCAGCTAATCAGAATAAACAACTCAACGGGTCACCGCACACTTATTGGCGAGGCTTTGGCTCTGTGGGTCTTTGATTTCGTTGACAATAAACTTTTATCAACATGAAGCATTCCAAGCTTGCAAATATAAAATGGCAAAAACGACCAAAACAGCGTTATGGCAAGGTCTACCGCAAAAAATGTTTGCAGAGACGGGTATACACAACCGAAGCATATCATGTGGAAGGGGGCACGTTTGCGTTACTAATGAGCAAGAGGGTCGATGAAAACAGTCAGCACAAATCTACAGTTTTAACCCGGAATCCGGGCCATTGAGGAAGACATTCACACAACGGGGTTTGCGGTGGGAACGGTACACACCTCATCTGGCTACACAGGTGCGAATTATAATTTTGAAATGGCTGAGCATACTTAACCACTGTCTACGCGCTTTGCACAGTACCCCCGCACAAGTAAGCGATCGATTGTTCAGATGCATTTTGAATGTGCAGTGATGTACACAATTTGGTGTGCTGCCAGGTATCTCGCGCCGTACTGCCCTGCGGCACTGACCGTCTTGAAGATCCAGCTGCGGCCGCGCACGCCCTTGATGCCGTAGGTGGAGTGGTCGGTGAGGTCCTTCACCCCCGGCGTTCGCATCTCAACCACCCGACCACGGCCCGTGAACAGCGTGAACTTCTTCTGCACAGTGAGGAACAGTGATATAAAAGCGCAGCTCTGATAAATATCTCACTTCAAGTGACAGAAACAATTATGTAAAAAAACTGACATCGCTTGCGAGAACCGTTAAACGTACGCATCAGTTGCTCATTCTCAGCCTAGCAGAGCTTTACAAAGAAGGTTATTCAACCGATCCAGAAACTGCCATATAAGTTCAAGCGCATTTCTTTCTTAAACGGTCTCAACACAGAAAGGTACTTAGCCTTTTTTAAAAAACACACTAGAATGCACCCTGATCTCGAACATCATAAAGATGTTGCTATTAACCGCGAACAACATGGCAGAAGCAAAAGCGTACCAAGGCCACGGGTACGACACGAATCAGCAAATCTAAACATGGAAATAATATCAGCCTGACTCTGAGAAGACCAACACAACAAAACACTCACGCAATCTTAATTGTAACGCTTGATTTGTAACATTAACACGCGCCCGGGTGGCCGGCTGGATACCCTTCGCTCGGGTGGGGGTCAATTTAAGCCCCCTAAGGTCTCAGGAACTAAGAGAGCCAGAGGCACCAAATTCACAGGTTGTGTTGACCTGTACATGAAATCACTTAGGTCAAAGTTTGAGGTTCCTAGGTTGTGACCTGTAGGTCAAATAAAGTCAAACAAGGTCAAATTGCAGATTGGTCTCCAAAGGGCGCCTAGAACCTAGACCACCTGGTCATCGCAAAAGGTCGCATGCTCATTCAAGATCAGGGACCTTGATTGACCTTTTGAAGTTCATGGTAACCAAAAGCATACAAGACTGCATAAAGTTTTGAATTTGAACAAGCAATGAATATTACACTAGGCAGCATGTTTTAAAAAAACAAAATGTTGACCTGGGTCATTTTGGGTCAGTGACCCATTCTGACCTTAAATACGTCCATCTAAGGTGTATAATGCGGTTTCTGTTATCAACACATTCGAAATGCGCTCCAGGAACTATCTCATACATCAAACCCTAGAGTGATAAATCAGGTTAGTGTTGACCTTGGTATGACCTCCATACCTGGCCCTGGGTCCATTTAATATGTTCATTCAATTTTTGTCTTGCCTAAGAAAGTATCTCAGAGATGCATGGCTTTGTCTAATAATCCGTTGTTGGATCAGATTGAGCGATTCCCTAGAAATTGCCTTCGGTGAAACCATGGCCTGAATTTGACCTGTCATAGGTCAGCGACCTTACAAGGTACATCTCAATTTTTTCTGTTAGACGATCTGCTGTTCAATTGCCTGCAGCCATGCAAAATTTGGTGCGGCTATGCCGCGGCGTTCAGAAACCATTCTAGAAAAACTTTCGGGGGGTCAATTTGACCCCACCGAGCGCGTGTTAGTGGAATGATCCATTAAATGAATCAATTATGACTGATTTAACATCATTGCACAGTTGGAGAGCAATGGCTCAGCCGTGATCAGCCTAGGATATCAGACGCCCCGGAGTGCCCCGGCCGCGCCGACTGACTGCGCGCCGCCAGGTGGCCGTGCCTCTCGGCGCGGCGGCTGGCCAGCGGCCCGTCACCTGCCTCGCTGCCGGGCACGAACTCCAGGCACGTGACTGTCTCGCCCGGCTCGCCGTACCGGGAGAACCCGAGCGGCGCCACCACAAACTTCTCCTCCTCCATCAGCAGCGAGAAGAACCAGACGGTGCCGTCGTCCGAGGCAGTCACCAGCATCCGACCTGCGGCGGCCGTACAGACGATGCTGTAGGCGGCTCGAATGCCGACGATGGCCAGCTTTGGGCGCTGACCGCGCGCCCATGTGGCCAACGTTCGGCGGGTGGCAAGCGACGGGCGCGCGAGAGCGACCACGTGTCAGGAAATAATGCACACTGTAGTAATATGTAGTAATGTAAAATAAAAATAACACAAAAAGCCAAGTAGTAATAAAGTAAATAATCAGAAAATTTTAGCATTACACTGCACCGTTCAAAAGTTCGGTTGGGGTATTTCACCTGTATTATTTTGGGTTCATTCTCCGAACGGATTAGCAGTTACAGCAACACGCACAATAGAGATTTTATGGTTGCATAGTTAAGGATAATGAAAATGTTAATCCGCTCCTAGCATCAATCTGAAAACGACACAGGCGACGTTTACGGTCCGGAATGCCTCTGCCATATGCGACTTGATTTCATAAGTGTTCTAGAATATTGTTTTCCAATACGTCGCCGTTCTCGCTCATCCGTGGGCCGAGTCTAGTATTAGCTGGGGTGACTGAAGCTGCGCAACCTAGGACGCTGCAACGTCGGGACATAGTGTTTTTGCTCGCAGACTGCAAGAACACATGTCCAAATAGTTTATGTAATCTTTGTTACTAATTGGCTCTGAAGAAGCGATAAACACCTCTAGACGAACTTAGGTTGGACGTACAAAAACAATTTTTACGTTTCTATATGCATTGTTGTTCAATTCAGGTGGATCCTCAATACATCTATCTGTACTACGTCGGGAAAAAATACCGGCAACAACTCTGACCGCTACGGTTTTAAAGCGTCCTTTGCCCTTTCCCAAGACTCTGGTTGCGCCTCTGGAGGAAAACTCATTCGCATCCCATCCAGAATTGCGCAGAACGAAAAAGCAGGTTGGCCATTGCCCTGTAAACGATTGGCTGCTCTTCCTGCCATGGTTTTACCGTCAATTTTGTGGCGATTCCCATATCAAGATAATTTTGCAAGAGCCTGCTGGTCAAACAGAGCTGGCAGTCCTTTATCACGCCAGACAGTGTCACGCAATGCCCAGCCGTACTAAACGTCCCCTTCGTCGGTTCCCGTAATGGCACCCACACACTCTGAGATCATTATGCCAACGTTACAGCTGTATTCGAACATGGGCAATACAAAGTCCAAAAGACTTGCATGCAGAATAAAATTGTACATTTCAGGTGACTCTGACTTTACCCATTTAAGCGGATGTTTTGGTAAGTTCTCCGTTGGCAGCGGCAGTTGCGCCTCACCTGAGGGACTCTGCTTGATGACGGTGATGGCGGCCGTGTGGGGCTTCTGGACGAACATCAGACTCATGCCGTAGCTGCCCTTTTTGGTGCCGGCATGCAGCTCTAGCAGCCGGATGCAGCCGTCGGCAAAGCCACCCAGTATCATGCAGGTTTGTTTGCACACCTAGGGAACCGCCGGTCAGTTCGTCGACACGCAGCATAGTGAGACAGAGACAAGGTACCCTGCAGCCCCTCAGGGTATTGCGCAAGCTAGGCAGTGTGGCGGTCGCCTGTCACACTTCCCTGTTAGACCAATTCAGATCCGTGAAATATCCAGTGTGCATGTGTTCATGGAACAACGAAGTGATCCTAACGGCTGTTGCCCGCGGTTCAGATGCACAGTTTCAGACGGACGACAGCTTCACTCACCGCCAGATATACGTCGAGTCACAGCGCACAGGCAAACGCGAATTACCATATCACGCCCACAAGTTAGCCTACACATGCGACTATTATTACGTTGATAGCATCGCTCATGTCCGTATTTGTCTGGTCTTTCAAGGCCTTGGAAGCTGTTATTCACGCCGGTAAACGCATGGTCTCTGTGTCTCAGTATCAGACAGTCCAGCCCAGCGACCGCACCTCCTGTGTGAGCCAGATGAGTGAGTTACCCCCGGCTGGGTGGCGGTTGCGGGCCAGCAGGTCCCGAGTCCGGTAGTTAAAGACGCTGACGTGGCCGTCGTCACCTGGGAAGGGCAGCACGGCCGCGGAGCAGCGTGAAAAAGTGCGAGTGGGTGCGAGATCCCACTTGGCGTACAATCGATGTGGCTTCAGTTCAGACATCCCAACACGCTGCCCGGCGCAAGGGACCACCGTAACAGCCATTCAAAGTGCTACAGTTTTAATTGGAACATGGCGTTACCTGACCACGGTAGGAATCACTGCAAAGCTAACGCCCGCGAAAGCAAGCAGAAAGTGTTTCCCATTGAAACTTCAAGTGGAATGATAAACATGAATAAGCTGGACACGGATATGTGGGATGTGGAGATATCCACCACCATGGCCGGATTCTGTCTATGAATGACGGCGAGACAGAAGTCTCAAAATTGACCGCTGCGTACGGAAAATGCTGCAAAGGCTGTCCACACCTACTATCAACCCTGAGTTTTGTCTCGGATCTCGAAAAGAAACAAGGGAATCATCATCATGACTATTGACTCAGCTTTGGCAGGTCTGTGGTAGACCAATTTTGCTGAGCCAACAGAGCGCACATTTGCCGTACGAAGTCGACCGCAGCACGGTGACTTACCAGTGACGGCCATGAGCGTGCCGACGGGACAGGTGGCCAGCGCCCGGGCGGGCCCGGCCGGACACTCGTACAGCCGCTCCGGACCCTTGCTCGTCATCGAAAAGCTCAGGTCGGCCCGCCAGATGCCGCCACACGCGTCCTGTGCCAGGCGGCCGGCAGGTGACGGACGGTCGGGACGAGGCCCAGTAGGGCGTGCCACGCAGCAGACGGGTCTTACCGCCTCTGTACACTCAACGCGAGGAGAGTTAACGGTTGGCAGCGATGCATTTGGTATCGCTTGCTCCATTTCTGACCAGAGACAGCCAACCTCCCTTCACAAGCAGTGGGTACACATGTACAGCCCAGGCACCGAGCTGACACTGACGCTCGGCAACAGGACAAGCAGACGCGGCAGCGATCTCGACCACCGGGCGGACACCTGTAGAGCGGTCAGCGACTGACCTGCATGAACCAGATGCTCTCCATCTCTGGGTCGGGGTGCGGCCACATGGAGAAGAGGCTGCTGTGAGGGGAGAAGCGCAGCTCGTTCATCGGATCGAGTGCAAACTTGCCAGCCATCTCCTCCGGCGCCTCTGCTTGGTCCACCGTGTCAAAGTCCCATGTGCGCACCCAGCCATCACTGCCTGCACAGTGGCGTGACGTCATAACGTGAAACGTGACGTCATGATGCGAAACAATCCCGACGGCATTGGCGGTGGACACGTTGGCTATGGTGGTGCTCGGTGGTGGGCAAAATGTGGTGCACTTCGGAGTTGCGGATCTGCAGTTACCGGGGCCTACGAAAATACCTCTCAGTCTCGGTCCCGGTCTCCACCTCCGTCTTCGTCTTTGGCTCTGCCCCCGTCTCTATCTCTGTCTCCGTCAGAGGCAGAGACTGTTGTATCAGCGTCCACGCTGAGCAGTGGTTGTTGTGAACCCTGATCCCATAATTTGATCGTGAAATTCCGGGTCAACGGCAGAGTTTTGCGACACAAGCTTAGCGTTCCCGAATTCTCCGCACGGTTCGTTCTCTCTGACGTCACCTAGCCTTCAGTGTGGCCGCTGTCATTAGCCGCAGGCCACATCAGAACCATCCAACCACTTGCGGGTAAATCGGGAGGCGGGCGCTTTAACCAACTGAGCTATCGGGAAGATGCCTGAATGAATCGCACAAGTGTGATTTTGGTGGGCCTCAACACTATCTGCCGAGTTTGATTTAGATGCACCGACAAGGCATGATCGAAGGCTTTATATTGGATGGCACCGTATACACATGATTGCGATCAGGAGCCACGCATTTCATTCAATAATAGATCACCTACAGTATATTATGTGACACCACGTTACTCATACGGATTGGAGGGGCAGATGTCATACAACACGCGGCTTCGCAACGTATGCATTAATTCATGTCATTTAATCCCGGTGCTATTACGCAGCCAAACGCAGCAACACACAGGCCTTGGCCGATGCGCAAAAATGTAGCCACTTTTATTCAGTTTTTGAAAAGAGACACCTGTTTTCATCCAGTTTAAGTTCGAGTATTAGGTGGTTTAGCACCTAATGCAACGGTGCTTTAGGTACTTTAACACCTAATGCAAAGCAACGCAAATGGGCTTGACCTGAACCTACCTAGTGTTATCAATTCTCCTTCTTCAAGGTAAAACTTGTGGATGGTTCCGTTATGACAAGGCTTGTTGTCTCTCCTCGTTATCTCTACCTTGATCAAGGCATCGTCCCACACGAGAATGTTGCCCCATTCACAACCAGACACCACCTGAAAGAATTAGTTTCATGTCAGCGACAGAGGTCAACAGCTGATTCGCTCTCGCCAAAAGGCGTTGCTTCAGAGCCGTGTTGTTATAAGACAAGACGGGGACGTAAGGCAAGGCAAGAGACCATACGCAAGCAAAATACAAAGGCAAGCTGGATCCATTCCACTATGCCAGCGCGTCACGTGGTCTCGCAACGGACAGCTTATTGGGTTCGCGAGACTGCCGTTCAATTCATAGCTCGCGTTCGATGGCAACGCAAACCCAAAGGTGCGTTTGATGTACATTTAGCAAGAAGAACATGCATCCTAGTTTTCCTTATAAAAATGAGCCCCTTGCCAGAGAATCTACCCGTTATGATGCCTGAACTATAGCTATACCGTGAGCGTGCATCAAGAAAGCAAGGCCGCATTTGTCCGTCAACGGAACACCGCGGCGTCCTGATCGCGCGTCCCCGCCCCCCCCGCGGCCACAGCCATCCGGAGGGGACGGCACCAGGCTGACGCAACACTTTCCGCCCCACCCCGGCACCGACTGTGATTGGTCGCCTACCGCCGCAAGGCAAATGGCGCCCAGCTGCCGAGCCCCTGGGCACGGACAGACGGGCCCACACTGGTCAACAAGCGGCTGGCGGCCTCATAGACCTGCAGCACATTGCTAGTAGTTGTGACGCGCTGTAGCTGCGGCTGACGATAGTCAAAATCGCCCTTTGTTTTGTTCAATCACAGCAATTTTGGCCTGAAGGTGAGTGGTCCTCTAAATGAGCCAGGAACGGAACTGGAAAGAACGTAACCATGAACGTAAAAGGTAGCAATTGTCTCGATTATTCGACGACAGCCAAACTGAAGCCTGCATAGTGCGCTGTGCAATTGTTTGGCTCTGTGTGCCGAAATGTTGAAGCGGAGCCAGTTTTAAAAGATGCCCTGTCGGGCCTTGCGTGTCCTCGTGAAGATAGCGCGAGCGAGCATCTAACCGGCAACTGTCGTGAACTTCATGGTTGAGTTGGGAAAGCAAACATATCTCAATATTTAAGGAAATCATGTTTTCTATATCATTCACGTTGCATCCAGCTGAAAAATCAATGTTTTATCCTTCGCATCGTGATCTACATGCTGTACTTTTGCGCCTAGCGAATTTCATTACACAGTGCGCATGCGCCGAGGACTTACCAATGGATGTGACAAAAACAGCTTGTAGCATATAAGTTTCCCCCCTGCTGACACCGCTTCTTGTGCTTGACCCTCTTAACACTGTTCCCTGTGTTGGCCTTTGATGGCACTAGTCCCTGTGTTGGCCCTCGTTGGCACCGCCCCCTGCGTTCGTCCTTGCTGGCATTGCTTTGTTGGCTTCCTGTTTGTCCCTGATGGCACTGCTCCCTGAGCTGGTTCCTACTGGCACCGCCCCCTGTGTTGGTCCCTGCTGGGACTATTCCGTGTGTTGGTCCCTGCTGGCGCTGTTCGCTGTGTTGGTCCCCGCTGACACCACTTGATACGCTCGCTTCTGGCATTCCATTTGTCCGTGCTGACACTCCTTCCTGGGTCCGTCCCTGACGATACAATTTTCTGTGTGCACCCATTATGACAGCCGAGCCTGCGTCATAACCACCGCTCATTGTTCTGAGCTAAGCGAATACAGCACAATAGGTACAAACACGCTCCGCTCCTCTCTCGCAGCCCCACGCCTGACACCGCTGTGTTCTCGGGCAGACATGTCGACTGTGCGCCTGTTCAGCGCGGCGACCCTCCGGCGCCATTACGCCCTGCTGCCTCTGGTCGGCATGCTGGCCGCGGCCGTGACCGGTGCCGTGGCCTTCTCCGTGCGGACGGCGGTCAGGGCGCCGGAGGTGGCGTACCGCAGGTCCGACGCTGCGCCATGGGAGAGCTACCGCCATCGGAGCTACAAACTATACAACCCCAGCGGCCTGCGTCGTGACCAGTGCCCGGCGCCAAGGTTTTGAAAGGTACGGCCACCGTCACTCAATCTATGGGTGTTGTGGAGGTGTGGAACTATGTGCAACTAGGTCATGTGCGGATGCTTTTGGTGTCATCATTGTCGTTACTTAAGTCAAATTCCAGATCTCTGAACATCATATTGGCAGTTTTACAGTGCGCTTTTCATACCTTTTTCTTTAGCATACTTGTATTTATAAACACAGGCACATACACGCACGTCTTAATCAAAAATAGTGTCACTGAGAAGTCAACGGAACTTAACTGTCCGGACTTCAAATCAACACCCAGACGCCAGCAGCATGCTGTATAATCGGCCATCAACGGCGGCACGTTTCTGAAGCGCGCATCGCGCAGCTCTAACGGCGCTCGTCTTCTTCGTTCGCAGCTCACGTGCGGCGCCGTCGCCGCGTGGTGGTCGCCGAGGGCGACCAGCGTCTCGGCGGGAATCGACGCCGGCGTGATTGTCTTCGCCCATCGTCCGTTGCGATTGTCCGGACCCAGTTGTCCGACGTGATTGCTCAGACCATTTCATTGTCACAAAACGAATTGTCTGCGCATAGGCATTGCATTGTGTTTGGTTAACGTTGCGTTCCATTGCGTTTGGTAAAGCACAAAGCCCAGACTGTGGATCACTGTATGTATCGTGTGAAATTAGTTGCCGACAGATGTCAAATTTGCAGAATGTGTAGAATGGTTCGGGAATTCAATTGCTTTGTAAAACTGTATTGTAAATTGTATTGTGTGACGTTGCACTGCATGGTAGATTTGCCTTGTTTTGTATCTTTGTTCTAGTATTCATGTAATGCTTTATTTGATTTCAAAAATAAAGCTCAAAAGCACCGTATGAGTTCCTAGTGGGGTTAAGCAGCACACAGACTCGGTAGTAAACATTTTCAAATGTGCATTTGTGTGGGTGCATATCCTAGACAAGAGCTACAGTTCAGAAAAGTTGTAAGGAGCCCATTGCAGCTAGCTGGCTCACATTCGCAAAGACATGGTCTTTGCAAAATGCTCAAAACACGCTGAATGTTGCATGGAAATATTCATTTGAAAGCACTGCTAGTGGACGTGTTACCTCGGGTCATACAGCTTTCAGCATGTGCGCAATTTGCGGTCACACAAAAGGTGGACGTGGGGAGGGTGTACTGCGACATCACGTTACTTCCGTGCACTGTTATGTGCCTGATAATTCCCTTTCTTCTCAAATTTGTACGTGTGGTTGTTGACAATGGGATGAAAACCATTACTGGACAGGTTATACCGACCTGAACTTGTTTATATAGTTCAGTGATTCTCAGCGCCCTGTGGTGCCGGCAGTCACGTGCTGCTGCTAAGTTCAATCCTATTGTGGTTAGAACACCTTTGTTCTCCAAGCGGTCGCGGCTGGGGATAGAAACATCTCACGGGCTGCTGGGATAATGTCGTCATAACGCACGAATACATATCCTAATCAAAGCATTCAGGGGCTATATGCTATATGAAATAAGCAGCAAAGTCGTCATGCCTAACATCAGCATTGTATGTTGCACATGACCTAGGTGTGCCATCGATCACGATTTCCATGCAACACGCAACTCGGGAGAATTTTTATCCAAATCAAGTCGTCTTTGGAACTCGGCCAGCGTGGCATGCGGCAGCAATCTCACGCCGCGCGTAATGGACATTATGGACGTAATGGATGTTATGGACATTATGGAGTGGCCTGATAAGATGAGCTATAAGGTATCCTGTTGGAAACGACAGTCGGCACCTAGGTTGGCCTATTTCTTGTTCAGTTGTTCAAAGTTCAGTTCAGGTCAGTTCATTTGCTTGCTGAGTGGAAGACGTGGGGACGTGTGGAGCCGGTACACACCTGCGGCTTCCTCGTCTGTGCGTACTCACCGATATGACGGCATGCCGTGAGACGTAACGTGACGCCATGATGTGACGCAGCAGCGGTGGGAAAAGCTTCTGATTTATCGGATATGATCCGTGACAAAACCGACACTTGCGAGCCAATTGGTGACAAAATTGTGGAAATGGAAACAAATTACAACAAACCATACCATATTACAACAGACCATCCCAGCTAGACGAAACCCATATTGGTGTGTGGCTTAGTACTGATCAGTACTCTCCAAGGCTTGTAACGTGATCATGTGTAGAGCACACGTCAGAAGCTTCACGTTTCGCGGTACAAGCAAGTTAAGCCACAGAATGCTGTCAAACATAGCAGCTTTAATCAGTATAGTTTTTAGCAGGTGACAAAAAGGTATTACAAACTATGCAGTATATCAGTGCTGACGTCACAGATCAGTGGTGACCCAGCGCTTTTCCGATGCAACTCAGACAACTGCCTTTCACAGATTTTCCAACTAAGACTTACTTCATATGCCGAACAGCATAAAACAGCAAATAACTAGGCTTATTACTAGTTGTAAAGTTGTGGCTGGCAGCGGTGTGTTGCCATGAACGCGACGAGCCTGTGACGCGAGTTTTAAACCGTCGTGCCATTTGAGACAGATGGGCTGGAATGCGCGCCACGCGGTAATGAAGTGGGTCCAATGCAAGGCTGTGGGCTGCTGGTTGGTTGTGTCCATGTCGTGAGAAGCTGGCTGGCCTGAAGAACGTAGCCAATCGTCAGCTTTGTGAGGCGCTCTGCGGCTTTTCTAAGGACCTACCACGGAGCGCGTCCCTGGTAATGGCGTTACTGGCCACATCCCTGCCGATCTAGGAGGCTTGTTTGTAAAAAAAGAATCGGACCTATAGCTTCAGAGGTCAACGGATGACGTCGAAGCGCCAGATGTCAAGGATTCATTCGGGGCTTTCCGCTGCTAAGAAGAACGACGGCCGTGAGATAAGATGCCGAGCATCACTGGTGTATGCCACTTACACTGCCGGTCGCGCCTCAGACTCAGCGTTCTGGCCGGTGGGCAGGCGTGAGATAAAACTCCTTCATTTTTCATTATATTGTATATACCAATATTGCATGGGTTTCGCACTAATTAGTTGGGATTATGTTCGGAAGTACGAGTTCTGCGCCGGTTATGATTATGGAAAGAAAGTGAAAGTCACCGATGCTTTCAGCTGATTGTACGATGACGTTACGGAACCAAAAGTAGCATTGTTTCAGGTGCCCGCAGAAGCATGTTGTCGGTTAATGTAGAGCTACGGAGATGCAGTTTTGCAAAATGCGTAGGGGTGAGTCTGCCTCCGAAATGCACTTAAAGCAGTTTTTACTCAGATTTCACGCACTTTTTCAGAGTTGGGAGAAGGAGTGTGTGCCCCAAACGTAGTTTTGGGAGTGACTAAACCCTATGAATTTTGATTAATGAAAAAATGGATAAATAGGCCAAACGTGATAGCTTTGATTGCTGAAAAATAATGGATAAAATGACAAAATAAAGGATACTACATCCCTGGCTACAAGATACAACTCCTCCCCCCCCCCCCCCCCAGACTGAATAGGAAACTACGCTGTCCCAGGCTGGTTATGTTGAGTACGCCTTCATCTGATAATTGTATTAAATTAGTCTAAACCATCATGTAGTATTTGATGGCCAGCAAATGATCCTTGAGTGCTAATGAACTCGCAACAGCAAAATTGTTATGGTTACGCTGCATTAAATTTACCTTGTATTTGTTTTTGTGGTCTGTTGCATTTAGAGTAATATTGCAACGTTTTCTGAAAAATGTGACTCCAGGTGACAGTTAAGACGGCTTCAAATTTCGCCGGTGACCAAATGGCCCTTTTTCACCACAGCAACCGACGGCACTGGCGGTTCGTCGTCGTCATTTGAGCTTTACGACGCAGTCAGCTGCTGAGGCTACATGGCATCGCCTGCATCACCCTGGCAGGAAGGGCGGACGCTGCGGAGAATCGAACCCCGTACCTCTGGCTCCCCAGGCGCGCAATGGTGAACGCAGACGTGTTGACCACCACGCAGCGGTGTGTGCGTTAGTTATGGTGGTGCTCGGTGATGGCCGATCTGTCGAAGAATTCGGAGTTGCATCTACCGAACATCACGAAATGATATACGTTTCCTCTATATTTTGATTACAATAAGGGGATGGCACCAGGCTGATGCAATACTTTCCACCTCATTCAGACACCGACTGTGATTGGTCGCCTACCGCCGCCGGGCTGCCGGCGCCCAGCTGCCGACCCCCTGGGCATGGGAGGACAGGGCCGCACTGGACAACAGGCTGAGGGACGTGTCGACCTGCAGCTCGGTGCTAGTAGTTGTGACGCGCTGTGGCTGCGGCTGACGACAGTCAATATCGCCGTTTGTTTTGTTCAATCACAACAATATCAGCCTGCAGGTGAGTATTTCTCGGAATGTCTCGGCCGTCCGTTGACTATGCTACATACAACTTCGCGTATCCCAGGGAAGACAGCATGACGGCGCGTTAAATCGGCCACTGCACTAAGGGCAAAACTGTATGAACATTTCAAGAAATTGAGTTTTATATATCTCGCGCGTTCCATGCGACAGAAAATCGATGATTTCCGTTCTCCCTAACTGCACGCTTTGTACACGCCTAAAACAAGACTTAACCAGTAAACGGACATTCAATGCGAATAAAATCAGTGGAGCTGTAGTTATTCGATACGTGAGTGTGGAAATACTAAGCGGCAGAGAAGAGTGAACTGTGCCAGAGCCAGTTTCACCACTTAAATGTGTGTGCGATGTTTCCACCTTCGCCTCGCCTGACGTGTTTCTTCCTTCGCCTTGTGATCAGATCAGATCAGATCAATGCCATCCTTCCTGTGTCTGCCATCACCAACAACCACCACTGCATGTTACGAGCTGAGGACACAGGAAACAAAGCCCAATCCGTGCCGCTGCGCCCCTCTCTCGCAGTCCCTCGCCTGACACGGCTGTGTTCTCGGGCAGACATGTCGAATGTGCGGCTGTTCAGCGCGGCGACACTGCGGCGTCATTACGCCCTGCTGCCCCTCGTCGGCATGCTGGCCGCGGCCGTGACCGGTGCCGTGGCCTTCTCCGTGCGGACGGCCGTCAGGGCGCCGGAGGTGGCGTACCGCAGGTCCGACGCTGCGCCATGGGAGAGCTACCGCCATCGGAGCTACAAACTCTACAACCCCAGCGGCCTGCGTCGTGACCAGTGCCCGGCGCCAAGGTTTTGAAAGGTACGGCCACCGTCACTCAATCTATGGGTGTTGTGGAGGTGTGGAACTATGTGCAACTAGGTCATGTGCGGATGCTTTTGGTGTCATCATCAGCATTACTAGCACCAAGTTTGGGATCTCTGAACGTCATATTGGGAGCATTATAAAACACTTCTGTTAACTTTTCAAAAGGAGTGTCCACATTTGTACGGGGTTTTAAACACCAATAGTCGTTTTGAAGCTCAATTGCCGCAGTTCACAGCCCTACCTTTCTTAAGGCCTAAGCCCTCTGGTGTCGGAGCTACACTCCCGCGAATACGTACAGACTGTTTCAGGGAGACTATTTTAATGTCACTCAGGCATCATGACGCAATAATAACGTCACTGAAATCCTGTCAATCCATCAGTCAGGCGGTGATCACGGTTACGAAAATGATATTAAGTCTTTCATATATGGCGTTCGTGAGCACGACCTCTTGATATAATGGCCGTCAATGGGCTCTCAATCAATATTGTGGAAGGTGCGGTGACGCAATCAAACACTGACACATTGTGGAGCGTGTTGACTAGACAGGCAAGTTGTGTCGTCTAGAGCAGTCTTATCCACTTAGATTATATCGATAGTTATAAGTAAGTTTATTGCACCTTATCTGATGCTTCCTTCAACAGCTTATGTAGAGGAAATGTATTCCCTTTAACCTTCTTTTATCCAAAACCATGCAGCAAATAAACTGCAAAGATGCATACAGCTAAAAAATTGTGTGGTTGAGAAATTACTGTAACTAGAACTTCCGGGCTTCCAATCAATGCCCAGGCGCCAGAAGCATGCTTTCATCGTGCATCATGGATTCATCATGCATACCAGGAGCACGCAGAATCGGTCATCGACAGCAGGATGTTTCTGAAACGAGCGTCCCGCAGCTCTAACGGTGCGCGTCTCCTTCGTTTGCAGCTCACGAGCGGTGACGGCGCCGCGTGTTGGCTGCCGACAGCAACCAGCGTCTCGGCCATCGACACCGGCGTGATTGTGCCCGGGCAGAGACGACATTGTGCCAGGGCAGAGACCAAATTTACATAATGTGTAGAGTGATTCGAAAACTAAATTGTGTTGCATAACGGCGCTGTAACTTGTATTGTATTTTTAGTTTTGTATTGTGAATTGTTCTGCATGACACTGTAACGTGTATTGTATCATCGATATTGTATTGTGAATTTGCTTCGCAATGTGTTATCTTAGTACAAATGGAACCCTTCATTTGAGTTTTGTAATAAAGCTCAAAGTGCTGTGTGAGTCCGTGGTCAGGTGAAGCAACACAAACACTCGCTGAGGAACGTTCATGAGTCTTCATTTGTGCGGGTACATATTTTTGCAAGAGCTTCAGTGCGGAAAAGGGTAAGAAAGCTCTTGCAAGTAGCCGGCACACATTTATTGGACAGACGTCCTTGTGAAATCCGCAAAACACTCTGAAAGCTAATGGAAATGCCAACTTGGAAGCACTGCTGGCAGACGTGCTAGCACGGGTCGTGCAGATTTTAGCGTGTGCATAACGTGTGCCGCACAAGAACGAGTTATGTGGGGAGTGGATATTGATATGAGATGCTGATATCGCGACATCACGTTACGTCTGTACACTCATGTACCTGATGATCCTCTTTTCTTCCAAAATTCTTACGCCTTTCTTCGCGTAAAATGGTTTCAATGCGGTAACACCTTTACTGCATAGGAGAAACGATTTTTGCACAGTAATGGTTTGAAGACTATAACTTTGCAGTAATGGTTTGAAGACCATTCCTGCATAGGGGTAATGGCTAACGTAGCTCGGTGATTCTCAGCGCCCCTTGTCATACCGTCAGTTACGTGCTGATGTAAAATTCAAATTTACCATGGAAAGGGCACTTTTGTTCTCCAGGCCGTCGCGGCTTGTGATAGAAACACGTCACAGGTTGCTGGGCTCATGACGTTATAAGGCGCACACCCATGTTCTACTTGAGGCATTCAGTAGCGTTCGGTGCTTCAAAAAAACCGTACGCACTACCACCAGTATACACTTAAGACTTCAGTGCTGATGCGTACTAGCTAATGTGACGGATTGTCTTGAAGCGTGGCGTGGTGTCATGATGGGGCACAGTGCCGACAGCATAGCAGGTGTGTACGTCAGCTATGGTGGCGGTCGGTGAGGGCCGATCTGTGGTACGCTTCGGCGACACAGTGCCGACGGCATAGCAGGTGTGTACGTCAGCTATGGTGGTGGTCGGTGAGGGCCGATCTGAGGTACGCTTCGGCGTCACAGTGCCGACGGCATAGCAGGTGTGTACATTAGCTATGGTGATGGTCGGCAAGGGCCGATCTGTGGTACGCTATGGCGTCACAGTGCCGACGGCATAGCAGGTGTGTACGTTAGCTATGGTGGTGGTCGGTGTGGGCCGATCTGTGGTACGCTTCGGAGTTGCAGCTACCGAAGTTTCCAAAAATATTTACGCTTGCTCCCCAATTTGATAATAATGCGGGAATGGCAGCAGGCTGACGCAACACCTTCCACCCCACCCCGGCACCGACTGTGATTGGTCGCCTACCGCCGCCGGGCTACTGGCGCCCAGCTGCCGACCCCCTGGGCACGGACGGAAGGGGGCCGGGCCAGGCCGGCTGAGAGCCGCGAGTAGGCCTGGTAATGGCACAGGAAGGATGGGAGGATTTGGAGGGGGACGAAAAGAGTGGAGTTGCGCAGAAACATGTATGAAGTAACTGTCTCGACTAATCGACGCTAACTTAAACGCTAACTTATGCATGTCTATGCATGCCTAAGCGCCAAAGCAGGGACAGTCTTATCTACACCACATAGAAAACGTCTTATCTATCTCGGGGAAGACGGCATAAATGCGATCTATGCCTGTCATTGTCCCGAGGACAAAGCTTATGGTTTATTTAGAAATACTCACGCATATTCAATATTTCAGGAATTTGGTTTTCTATATGTTTTGTGTTGCATGGAACATAAAATTGAGCTATGTAAATTATCACTCACTTTACACTTTTATACTTGCATAAACTAAGGTGCAGACGATAAATGGCCTCTCATTCCAAATATAGATGCTAGGATTGGATTCGCTTGACAGGCATTCTAAGCGGCGTGAGATTGGTGAGCCGAGCCAGGGCGTGAATGCCTGAATGCGTATGCTTTGTTTCGACCTCAACATCGGGGTCAGAGAATACCATTCTTCCGCTATGCACCCATCACCATAACCACCACTGCATGTTAAAAACCAAGAACGTCAACAAAGCACAATCGGTGCCGTCCCGCCCCTCTCTCGCAGTCCCTTCGCCTGACACCGCTGTGTTCTCGGGCAGACATGTCGACTGTGCGCCTGTTCAGTGCGGCGACACTGCGGCGTCATTACGCCCTGCTACCCCTGGTCGGCATGCTGGCCGCGGCCGTGACCGGTGCCGTGGTCTTCTCCGTGCGGACGGCCGTCAGGGCGCCAGAGGTGGCGTACCGCAGGTCCGACGCTGCGCCCTGGGAGAGCTACCGCCATCGGAGCTACAAGCTCTACAACCCCAGCGGCCTGCGTCGTGACCAGTGCCGGCGTCAAGGTTTTGAAAGGTGCGGCCACGGTCACTCAATCTGTGGGTGTTGTGAAGGTGTGGAACTATGTGCAACTAGGTTATGTGCAGCTGTTTCTGGTGTTATCATTGTCATTACTGACGTCAAATTCCAGGTCTCTTAACATCATACTCGGGGCGTTATAAATACACTTTTTATTTTTCTAAGTGAGTATTTCACATTTGTATGGGGCTTTGAACGGCAATAGCCACCTTGAATCTCATTTGCCGCAGTTCACAGCCCTGCCTTTCTTGAAGCCTAAGCCCTGTGGTGTCTGAGCTATACGCCCGCCAAGAGGTACAGACTATTTCAGAGGAGACTATGTCAAGTTCCCCCAGGCATCACGACGCAATAATAACGCCATTAAAATCCTGTCATTCAATCCGCCAGGCGGCGATCATGGCCAAGAAAAATACTATTGTCAAGTGTTTCGTACGTGGCGTTCGTGAGCACAATTGCTTGATATAACGGCCGTCAACAGGCTCTAAATCCATGTTGTGGAAGGTACGATCACATAATCAATGACGCATTGAGAAGCGTATGTACAAAACAGAGAAATTGTGTCTTCTAGAGCAGTCTTATCCACGCAAAATTATATTAATAGCTATAAGTGAGGTTCATTCACTTTATCTGATGTTTCCTTCCACAACTTCAGATGTGCGGCGTTCCCTTTAGCCTGCCTGTTTCCAAAACCATGCACCGAGTAAACTGCTAATATGTATACATTTAAGAATTCGTGCGGTTGAAAAATTACCGTAACTAGAGCTGTCCGGACTTCGGATCAATACGCAGACGCCAGAAGAATGCTTTATAACTGGCCACCAACGACGAGATGCTTCTGAAGCGAGCGTCCCGCAGCTCTAACGGTGCTCGCCTCCTCCGTTCGCAGCTCACGAGCGGCGCCGTCGCCGCGTGGTGGCTGCCGACAGCGACCAGCGTTTCGGCGAAAATCGACGCCAGCGTGCTTCTCTGTGCCCGGGCAGACACCAAATTTACACGATGCGAGTGATTCGAGAAATCAATTGTGTAGCATAATGGCACTGTAACTTGTGTTGTTAATATTGTATCGTGAATTTGTACCGTACTGTATCTTTACACTAGTATGAATGCAATTCCTAAAATAAAGTTCAAAGATGCTGCGCGCGTCCGTGATCGGGTGAAGCAGCACGAACACCCGGTAGGGAACATTTTTTTTTTAGATTTTCCTTTGTGCGGGTACATACATTTGCAAGAGTTTCGGTGTAGAGAAGTGGTAAGAAAGCTCTTGCAAGTAGCCGGCTCACAGGTACCAGGCAATAGTCCTTGTGAAATCCACAAAACGCTCTGAAAACTGCATGGAAATGTCAATTTGGAAGCACTGCTGGTGATCGTGTTAGCACGGGTGATGCAGATTTTAGTGTGTGTGCAAGGTGTGTCACACAGAAACGAGTTGATGTGGCGAGGGTGTATCGCGATATGGCGTTACGTCTGTGCGCTGTTATGTGCCTGATGATTCTCTTCTATTCCAAAATTCTTATACGTTTCTACGCGTAAAACGGTGCTTTAAAGTAGTAAAAACTATTAGGTGGTTATACTGCCGTAACTCTTTAATGTTGTCCGGCGATTCTCAGCGTCCATTGTCATACCGTTGGTTGCGTGCTGATGTAAAATTCAAATTTACCATGGAAACAGTACTTTTGTTTTGAAGGCGGTCGCGGCTGCGGATAGAAACAACTCCGGGCTGCTGGGCTCAATGACGTTATAAGGCGTAAAAGCGTACATCCATGTTCTAACTGAGGCATTCAGTGGCGTTGTGCGTTTCAAAAATCTGTACACACTACCACCAGTACGCACTGACAACTTCAGTGCTGATGCGAACTAGATGATGTGATGGGATGTCTTGAAGCGGGACGTAGCGTCATGATGCTGTGCAGTGCCGACAGCACAGGCGGTGTGTACGGGAGTTGTGGTGGTGGTCGGTGATGGCCGATGGATGGTACCCTTCGGAGGTACAGTTACCGAAGCTCACGAAAAGATTTGCGATTGCTCCCTAATTCCATTCTAATGCGGAAACGGCACCAGGCTGACGCAACACCTTCCACCCCACTCCGGTACCGACTGTGATTGGTCGCCTACCGCCGCCGGGCTACTGGGGCCAGCTGCGGACCCCTGGGCGCAGACGGAAGGGGGCCGGGCCAGGCTGAACAACAACCGGCTGAGAGCCACGAGAAGGCCTGGAAATGGCGCTAGAAAGATGACAAGATAGGGGGCAGGGTGATCGTAAAGAGTACGGAATTGTGCAGAACATCAGAGGAAGAGGCCGTCTCGATTAGTTGACAATCGCCAACTTCAAGTTTCTCAAATCCATTGCACAATTATTTGGCTCCGCATGCTCAAGCGATGAAGCAATGCCAGCCTTGTAGACACCCCTTAAAATCCTGCCTATCCTTGGGAAAACAGCATGAGGCACATCTGACCGGCCACAACTCTGAGGGCAAGGTTTATAGCTCACTTGGGAATACGCACGCTCAATATCTCGAGAAATCGGGTTTGTGATATCCTCAGTGTTGCACGCGACAGGAAAATCAACCAGTTAATTCTCATTTGCTTCTGACATTACCAAGATAAGACAAGGTGTAAGTGGTAAGTAGCTTCTGATTGTGAACAAAGATGCTAGAATTGTGTTTGCTGAATACAATGTTGCTCTT